TTTTAAGCCTGAACTCCAACTAATTTGCTCGTTATCATAACTCACAAAATCGTCTACATTTTCATCTGGGTTCTCTCTCCGTTCCCAGTTGAACACTTGTGAATTGTAGAATTTGATTGTTTGCTGTATATTTTCAGCAAGCGCATCTTGGTTGAAGTTAATTACCCATGCATCCCGATTGGTCTGGACACCACTGCTGAATTGGTGGAAGATTACGCCTGAAACCTCACCCTTTTTTGCCTTCGCTTGTTTACTCCCCATCGGCACAAAGGTCTCGAAATCCTCACGCAGCCCCTCGGTGAGCCACGTGTGCCGCGCATCGGGTTGAATGGAATCCCACTTGACGTTCCCGATGTGTTCGCACGTGTCCAGAAAGTCAAACGTCGCCTCTTTGCTTATCTCTGCCGTCTCACCGTTGTAAAAAATACGCGCAGGCTCTGCCACTTCGCTGGCAAGGTTTTCAACCGTGCCCCTGTCCTGATTCGTCTTTACAAACAGGTTAATGCTCACACCCACCTGAATGTCAAAGACGTTGGAATCCCCGGCGTGGCCTTTGCGGACATTGCCACCCAAATCCAGCAGATAATCGCATCGCACGCATCGGTGAGGTGTTTCCGCATGCCATCGAACGCCTGACCAGTGATAAAGTTGTGGTTCGTTACAAATGCGACAATTCCTTTCCCATCAATCCGATCCAACGCCCAGAGAATCGCTCTGACGTAAGGATCATAGAGTGCAGCTTTGTTCGTCGCACTGGAGGCGTGGGCGTACGTCTCCTGAATCTGTTTATCCAATTCGGGATATTTCCGATTCTTGTTGGCATCGTTCTCATCCATCTGCCGCGCATTGTAGGGCGGATTTCCAACCACCACGAACATCTCTGTCTGCTTCTGACGCTCAACCCGACGTGTGTTCTCTGGTGCGAACATGGATAACTGACGCTCTGCTGTCAGGTCAAACGTATCCACAAGACAGAGGTTATCAAAAGCCTGATACTGCCTTGTGGCAACATAAAATTCATGTTCAATGTTCATACTCGCAATGTAGTAGGGCATCAACAACACTTCATTACAGTGGAGTTCATCGTCATATTTCGCCTTGAGCGCGGTTTTGTCGATTTCTTGTATGAGCCGCACGATGAAGTTACCCGTGCCAACAAAGGGGTCGATAAGGTGAACCCCTGTGTCTGAAAGTGAACGTCCAAACTCGGTTTCAAGCAGATGTGAAACGCTTTTCACCATGAAATTGACAATCGGCTGTGGCGTATAGACGATACCGTGTGTATCCGCAACCTTGACGGAGAAACCTTGAAAAAATTGCTCGTACACGGTGTTAAGAAAGTGTTGTTTCTGAGAGAAGTCGATGAAGGTCGCAGCGGCGCGTTGAATTGCACTGTAGAAGGGAGCCAGTTCCCGGAGGAATTCGGCGCGGTTATAGGCGTGCTCTGTAAGCGCGTCAATCACATTTTCAATTTCGCGTGCGATGATATTTCGGCGTGTAAAATCGCGATTGTCAAAGACAGTGGAGAAGATTTCCTCTGTCAAGAGGTGTTGGATGAGCATCTCCTCTACAGCGGCTTTAGCGAGGTTGGGGTTAATCGCCTCCTGACAGTGGCGGTGGAAGTCGGTAAATGCCTCCTGAAACCGAGCGTTGGTGTCCTCTTCTTTTTGGATCAACGCCGCTGCGCGTTTGCCGAGTGCTGGCACTTTGTCCTTGAATTCAACGACGGCGCGTTCCCAATCGGCGATATCTGCTTGTTCGTAGTTGAAGAAGGCATGAAGCACCCGGATAAACGCTTCTGGGTCAGCAATGCCCACATCCATAACCTCTTGCTTATCCTGATAGAGGATAGCGCGTTCTTGGGTTGTAAAGAGGATGTTATCCTGTGGATAGCCTGCGTTGAATTTCTGTCTAACGGCGGTGGTCAGATTATCGTGGAGGTCCTTCGCTTCCCAGTAGCCGCGCGGCAAGCCGAAGTCATTATCGGTGAGCATACCGTCAACGTAAATTATGGTATTTTGCGGGGTTCGGAGCGATTTTTCACAGATAAGCGTTAAATTGTTTTGACGAGCATAGTGTTGGAGAAGTGTAGCAAAGGCGAGTCGGACTTCGGTTTCATTTGTTGCGCCGAGGCTTTCGTATTGTTTGAGTTCTGCGTAAAAGGCTTTTATCGGTTTGTGTGTCGATTTGATGTTTCGCATCCTTGTGCTTCCTTCTAATTCATAAACTTATGTGAAGTATATTATACACAAACCTACAATAGATCACAAGTGAAAATTAGCGTCTGTTCCTGAATCAGAGCCATTCAGTTTTCCGTCCAGCACCGAGAAAGTTTTATGACGGATATAGACCGGTGTGAAACTTTCATAGCAACTTTCATAGCAACTTTCATAGCACCCTTTGATGAAAACCGTCTAAAACCCAATACGCGTCAGGGTTTATCGCCTTTCACGACACCTATTGATTTCTCGGTTTGCTATGAAAACTGTGAAAATATCGTCAGATGTGCGAATCTGTAGGCTTTTCAGATATAACCGTTGACAGAAAATCGTTTTTAGGGTATAATAAATTCAGAAGTCGGTTCGAAGTTGTGTGGGCAACAGGTGCCCGATTTCAATCGGGGTATCGATTTATTCGTGATGAGGTCCTGCGACAGGTTCGCTTGGAAACAGAGCGTTACGAGACGGAATCTGAGCTGCTAATAAAAGCAGGACGACTCGGGTTCCGAATTGAAAGTTTGCCGATTCAGACACGGTACGGCGACGAGATCAGCCATATTAAACCACTTCGAGAGATATGGCTCTTTACAAGATCGTTATTGCTTCGTAGCCTATGAAGAGTTGGAGGCGGGTTTTGATGAATCAAAGCACCTCTTAACTGACAACTGATAACTGACAACTGACAACTAATACATGGATTCACTCCAGCTCTTTATTAAGGGTTTTCTGATAGGCATCGCCAACATCATCCCCGGCATGAGTGGCGGGACCCTCGCCCTCGTTTTAGGTATCTATGAACGGCTCATCGGTGCATTACGGCGCATCGGACTTTCAACGGTAAAAAAACTGTTAGGCGGCGCGACCTTAAGAAAAAACGCTCTGGCAGAAGCGCAGGCAGAGTTGCGTCGAATTGATTTCGGCTTTCTTACACTGTTAGGAAGCGGTGCGATCGCCGCCGTACTGCTCACGTCAAAACTGATTGTCTATCTGCTGAACGATCATCATGATGCGACTTACGGCTTCTTTTGCGGGCTAATCCTGATGTCTATCCTGATACCCGTGCGCATGCTAAAGGCGTTTGGTTGGAAAGAACTGTTAGTCCTACTGATTGCTGTCGCACTGATATTAAGTCTATCTGTCGGTACGGGCGAAAAACAGTTAGATCGGGTTGCGCATAAATCTGGGATTGAGACAACGATGGGTAGCGAGGTTTCCGAGCGCGTGCCTGGAGTGCCAACGTCCTGGGAACTCGTACTCTTTTTCGGGAGCGGCGCGCTGGCAATTTCAGCGATGATTCTGCCCGGCATCAGTGGTTCGTTTCTGATGCTCGCACTCGGTGTCTATTTCCCTCTCTTGACGGCAATAAATACAGTGTTAGAGGGTATCCCAGCATTGTTCAAAGGTATCTTCAAACAGTCGATGCTGGGGAGTTTACTAACAATCGGTTTTACAGCAGTTGGGTGCTTGTTCGGACTCTTAGCATTTACACGGTTGCTCAACTATCTACTGGAACGTTACCGCAACCTAACGATCACTTTCCTCATTGGGCTGATGGTGGGCTCACTTTACGGGTTATGGCCCTTTCGCGAGTTTGCAATGGTAGATGCGGAACGGATAGATACGGCTTACATCTTACCACAACTTGATATGAACCTGCTTATCACTATGGCGGCTTTTCTTGTCGGCTGTGGTGTTATATATTTATTTACGCGTTTGGATTTTTAAATGATAGTTTAAAAAACGATGACCAGATTTAATAGTTTAAAAAATAGTTTAAAAATAAAAAACATCGGTTTATTTGTCAATACTACCAAAGCAAACGCAGCGGGTGTTGTCGAAGGCGTGTCCGTATGGTTGGAGGAACGCGGTATTGTTCCACTATTGTCAGAGGAAGAAGCGATTGCATTAGGACAACCTCAAACCGGCATCTCCAAAACCGAGGTAGTCGAGCAAGCAGACGTACTTCTCGTCCTTGGTGGAGACGGAACACTCCTGAGCGCAGCGCATACACCGAAGATTGAAAATGTGCCTATCTTAGCGATCAACATCGGAACGCTTGGATTTTTGACGGACGCATCACTTGATGAACTCTACCCGACACTGAACGCGCTTTTGACAGGGTGCTTATCGGATAGAACATCGGATGATGTTAGAGGTTGTTGTGAACAGCCAAGCCCAAGCGAACCAAGGTCCACAACCGTTTCGGGCTTTCGCGCTCAACGATGTTGTGATACGGCACTATACACGTCTTATCGAATTAGATGCTTATGTTGACGGGGAACTCTTTATACCGTATAACGCCGATGGACTGATCATCGCAACGCCGAGCGGGTCGACCGGATATTCGCTCTCCTGTGCGGGTACTATCGTCGCACCGCAATTGGAGGCGATTCTGCTAACACCCATCGCACCACACAGTTTGACAGTGCGTCCTTTTATCGCCGATGGCGATGCGGAAATAACCGTCAAGATGCGTGCTGCATATCAGAGTGTAGATGTTTTTGTAGATGGCCAACGCGAGACACACAGCCTTACTGCAGGTGCCGTCATAGAAGTAAAAAAAGCGGAACGAACAATTCAACTCATCCGTTCGCAGCACCATAGTTATTACAGAGCCCTACGTGAAAAATTAATGTTGGGCGAGAGAATTAAATACACATAGAGAGATAGCCGTCGGCTATCAGCAATCGGCTTTCAGTGTTGTGTCGCACATCAATCTGCTTTATTGAGAAATCATTCTGCAGACGACGACCTTCTGACAACTGACAACTGATAACTATAATGATAGACACACTCTCCATCCGCAACATTGCCCTCATAGATGAACTTGACTTGGAATTGGCACCAGGCCTGAACATCTTTACTGGTGAGACGGGTGCTGGCAAGTCGGTTATCATCAGGTCAATCGGATTGGTATTAGGTGAGAGAACCTCCGCTGATATTGTCCGTGAAGATGCCGATTTTGCGGAGGTAGAGGCGAGCGTCGCACCTGACGATGAGCATCCGATCTGGCACACAAACTGGGACGAAACTGCCGATCCGATGTTGAAAGATTCTTTTAGCGATGTATTGGATCCATCGGACGCAGTGATTCTCTCCAGAAGAATCACATCGAACGGTAGGAGTCGCTGCCAAGTTAATGGACGCTTGGTGAATTTGAAGCAGTTGCAAGCACTCGGAACATTACTTGTAGATATCCACGGTCAACACGAACATCAATCGTTATTTAGAACACAAACGCACCTTAAGCTCTTAGACGATTTCGGCGACAACAGTGAGGCACAACGATACGTTAGCAAGATATACGCACAGTTACGAGCCTTACAACAAGAAGCAGCGTCCCTCGCGGAGACCTTGAAAGCATCAGAACGGGAAAAGGAACTCCTTGAATTTGAAATTAAAGAACTGACTTCGGCAAATCTGGAGGAAGGCGAGGACGAAAAATTGGCGGATGAGGCGCGTATCCTTAAGAACGCAGAGGCGTTGGCTAAGTCCGCGAATCGTGTGTATCAGCAATTAAATGCAGACAGTTCCGGGATGGGAAGTTCTGGCAGCCCGCTTGAACGCTTGAGAGACGCCGCGAAGGAAATGATAAAATTGTCCGAAATCGATGATAGCCTCTCGGAATTGGGGGATCGGTTGGACTCATCGCTTTACGAATTGGAGGACATCGCTTCACAGGTCCGGCACTATGGAGAAGCGGTGGAATCTAACCCAATGCGGTTGGACGAAGTGACCGACCGGTTAGCGTTGATTGCGAAACTCAAACGGCGTTACGGGAACTCTATTCCAGAGATATTGGCTTATCAGGCGGATGCAGAGGAAAAATTAGAGACGTTACAACTCGGCACAGAGAAACAGAATTTGCTGCAGACGGAGATCCACAAAACGATTCAAGAAGCACAGGGTCTATGCACTACGCTCTCCGCGAAACGGCAGCACGTTGCTAAGCACCTTTCAGAACGGATCGAAAAGGAGCTACGTACACTCGGTATGGACAAAGCGGAATTTCATGCATCCGTTCGGCATATACCGGATGACCGTGGTCCGTTTCAGATAGACGGGAAACGCTATGCATTCCGCTCTGACGGGATGGACGATGTAGAGTTCTTAATTGCGCCGAATGTAGGATCCGAAGCGCGTCCGATCGCCAGAATCGCATCAGGTGGTGAAATCTCGCGTATCATGCTCGCGTTAAAAACAGTGCTTGTTCAAGCTGATGAGATTCCTACACTGCTCTTTGACGAAATCGACAGCGGTATTGGCGGCAAGGTTGCAGACGTAGTTGGCAAAAAGTTGAAGGAACTCTCAGCATTTTCACAGGTTATTTGCATTACACACTTGCCACAGATTGCCCGTTTTGCAGATAGGCATTTTCGGGTAGAAAAGAAGGTGATTGGTGAGCGTACACTGATTACGGCGAAACCGTTGACCGTAGAAGAACAGGTTAATGAAATCACCCGAATGCACGGCGGTGAAGAAACCGAAATAGGACTCGCACATGCACGAGAAATGCTGTCCGAAAAACAAGCAAAGTGTGAGTGATGTCGCTTGCTAACCAATATTCAAAGTGTACATTTTAACGCTTCCGTGTCAAATCCGAGCACTTTAGCTAAGGATGGACAAAGAAATGGACGAAAAATTTACACAACCCAGCGGAACGCATGTCTATACTGGATGCGAGTTGTTAGTTAAGGGTGCCTTAGAGAGCGGTGTTAGCCTCCTCACAGGTTATCCCGGTTCCCCAATCGCTGAGGTATTTGACATTATCGAACAAAATGCCGAGTTGTTGAAAACCAACGGCATCGTCGCACAGATAGCCAACAACGAAGCATTGAGTATCGCACGTCTCAACGGTTCGCAGATGGCTGATGTCCGTGCGATTACGTTTATGAAAAGCGTCGGCTTCCATGTCGCTTCTGATGCACTGGCGATTAGTAACCTTGCAGGAACAACCGGTGGTGCCGTTGTGGTCGTTGGTGACGACACATGGTCGAACAGCACGCAGGCGCCCGCTGATTCCCGATTTTTGGCGCGGCATGTCCAAACACCACTTATTGAACCTGGGACATTTCAGGAACTTAAGGATTGGATTAACTGTGCCTTCCAGATCTCTGCAGCATCGAACCTCTATGTCTGCTACTTAACTACCGAAAATCAGGCAAGCGGAGGTGGCGATGTTGAACTCTACCCTAATATCTACCCCGAAATTAGCAACTTGAAGCAAATCAACTTGGATACCCAACTCATCAATGCTGATAAACGGGTTGTTTTACCGCCACATACTGCACAGATCGAAGTGGAGACATTGAGAGAACGGTTCCCCACCGCACTTGAGACAGCACGGAACCTCGGACTCAACACAATCCAGTTCATGGGTAGGGACGAGGTGACCTCGCCTGTACGGAAGAAGCACCGTCTTGGATTTGTCAGTGCGGGTTTAGCTTATAGCTGCCTCCGCCACGCACTCGGGGAATTGCGGTTGGACGGTGAGATCCCGATTCTCAAACTTGGTATGACGTACCCTATTGATATGGACATCGTCAGAGAGTTTGCTGCACAGGTTGACGAAATCTACGTCATTGAGGAAAAACGTCCCCTTTTAGAGAACGAAATAAAAGCGTTCATCACCCATGGGTATCAGAATGGAGACATGGATCGATACGTAAATGTGTGGGGCAAACAATTTCCCGACGGCATGGCAGGAATCCCGGTAACTTCTGGCTTAGATGCCTCCATTCTTATTCAAAAACTCATCCCACTTCTCAAACATCTCCTCGGCACAGGAGACGCATCTGCTGTAAACGCAGCAACCCGTCACAATCCAAAAATCGATCTGGAACATTTCTCACGTGAAGAAACACTCCAAAAACAGGTATCCGAACAGCAAATCGACATTCCACAACGGACACCTACCTTTTGTCCGGGCTGTCCTCACCGTGATTCTTCGAGCGTCTTCCTTGAAATTACGAAGCAATTCATGGATGTAGACTATATGAAGAAGCATCATGATTTGGGACCAATTGATCTCGTCTTTCATGGAGATATCGGTTGCTATTCAATGCTCAAATATGAACCGTTTCCGCGTCTCATGCACAATCTTTCTGCGATGGCGTTAGGTGGTGGTGCGGGGGCTGGTATCGACCCGTTTATCAAAAACAAGCAGGTCGTTTTCATGGGGGACTCAACCTTTTTCCACGGCGGGATGGCAGCGATTTCGGATTCAATCAAAAACAATCAAGACATCGCCTACATTATTTTAGACAACCAAACAACAGCAATGACGGGACATCAACCGACCCCTGCTGATGAGATTGACATCCTCGGGAATCCGACGTTCGCACAAGATATTGAACGAGTGGCACAAGGACTCGCCGGCGATTCCGAAATAGAAATAGTGCGCACCAACCCGGAAGACAGGGTAAACTACAAAAAATATCTGGAGAAAACTATTCTCAAACCCGGCATCAAAATTATCATTGCTGATAAAGAGTGTGCGATTACCTATCATCGTCGGGTCCGACGTGAACAACGGAAAACGATAACTAAAGATGGTTTTCTAAAACACGAAAAGCATATCAATATAACCCCTGAGGTCTGTGAGTTTTGTCGAGAATGCACCACTGTGACGGGATGTCCGGCTTTAAAAATAGTTGATACCGATTATGGTGAGAAAATCGCCATCGATCAGTCAAATTGCGTCTCCGATGGTGCCTGTGCCCGGATTAAATACGCATGCCCCGCGTTTGAAGAGGTTATCGTCACACGCAAACGTCCGCCTCAAAAGCAAATAACAGAATTCGGCAACCGTGCACTCCTGAGTGATGAACCTTTACCACCACCACCACCACCGACGTTCGAGCGGTGTTGGAACATGTACGCCGCAGGTGTTGGTGGCATGGGGATTGGGACGATGTCAAAAGTTCTCGTTGTTGCAGGCTATCTTCAGGGCTACAACGTGACCTTTTGCGATAGGAAAGGATTGGCAATTCGCAATGGCAGTGTCTATACACACATAGCGTATACGCAATCGGATGTTCACGTTTCCCCAATGATTCCTTATGGTAAGGCGGACCTCCTATTAGGACTTGATATTTTAGAAGCGGTCCGTGGGATTACTGCACAATCACTCTTCCGCATCGCATCACCGAATCGAACCACTGCTGTGGTGAATACAGCGAAAACTGAAACGATAACCACTCTCATCGGCAAAGACAATTTCAACCCCGAGACACTCGAAGAAGAACTTCAGACGTATACTAACGCCGACACATATTTTGGGACGGATCTATTTACAGTCTCTGAGCAATTGTTCGGCAACAAGTTGTATGCGAACATGATGCTCCTTGGTACCGCTTTCCAACGGCAATTGATACCGCTCGAATTGGAACCGCTCCAATTGGCACTTAAGCAGATGGTGCCGCATGCCGATTTGGATACCAATATGAAAGCGTTCACCGTCGGACGTCGCCTCGCATTAGAAGACACTAAATCTCTTGTGGGTACACGTTCAGAAAAGCCTCTGGCAACTTACGCCGAAATGCTTTCCGCGAAACAACAGATATTGGAAAAAAAACGCAATCGGAAACGTTTAGCGCGAGAATACGTAACATTTGTTGAGAGTACCGTAGAGACGCTCAATCTTGATTCAGACAGCATCCACCGAACACTCGCACTCTATATCTATGATTTGATTCAGTTCGAGGATATCAACTACGCCCGGGTATACGTTGAAAAGATTAAACAGGTGCGCGCATACGACTCAGAAGTGTACGACTATCGTGCCACAAAAGCTGCGATTCGCTATCTCCACAAGGTGATGCTAATCAAGGACGAGGTCTACGTCGCACATCTGCTAACGAGCGAAGAAAAATTGCAGCGGGATCAGGAATTGTACAAGGTTGACACAGCAAACGGTGATAGGATTAAATATGTCCATCTCAATCGTCCCCACTTTACCGTGATGGGGCTTGACTTTGAAGGCGACATTGACACACGAAATTGGCAATTGCATCTGATGAAACGGATGAAGTTTCTAAGACGTTGGCTTCCAGGGTGGCACGCCAAGGAAAAAGCGTTCCGAGAGTGGTATATTACCCGCGTGATCGACACCTTCTCACCAACTGACGCTGAGACGTACGAAAAGCATCTCCAAGCGTTAGAATGTGTGGAGGAAGTCCGTGGCTATCGAGACATTCGCTATCCGAAAATGGAAGCGGCGAAGCAGACAGTTAAAGGCTTACTTGAAGAATAACCGCTCCCTTCGCGTATGGAAAACGAGCGCGTAGCCTGAAACGAAGTGGAAGGCAACTCTACGGAAAAGGACATGAAACTCCAGACTCACCTCATCGAACCGCAAGGAAAATTAAAAAATGCTGACCGGACACACCCACATTGTCGGCGTTATTGGTGATCCCGTTGAACACAGCCGTTCACCGCAAATGCACAATGCCGCTTTTGCCAAAGCAGGTCTCGATTATGTATACGTCCCTTTTCATGTCCGTCCCGACGATTTGGCAGATGCGATTGCTGGGTTTAAAGCGATTAATGTCGTCGGCATTAACGTAACGCTCCCACACAAACAGGCAGTCATCCGGTCCGTTACATCAATCTCTCGGGAAGCCGAACTCATTGGTGCTGTGAACACGCTGACGTTTGTTGAAGGGAACATATATGGCGATAATACAGATGCCCCTGGTGTCTTAAAAGCCTTAGAAGAGGACGGAAACATGTCTGTGCCGGTAGGTGAGAATGCCATCGTTTTAGGAGCAGGTGGGGCTGCGAGAGCTGTCGTCGTTGCGTTAGCACTCAGAGGCGTAGCATCGATTACAATCGCCAATCGCACAGTGGAAAAAGCGGTCTCTTTAGCAGAAGAGATGGATCGAAAGACAGGTGTTTCCATGCAAGGAATGGGGCTCACGGATGAACGATTGCCTCTGGCGGTTCGCGAGAGCAAACTTCTTGTCAACACAGCGACGACGAGCATGGACGTGACACAACCTTTGCTCATTTCTGCAGACTGGCTTCAACCAAATACTATTGTTTACGACATTGTGTATACTCCCCCGGTAACACCTTTGATGCAAGCCGCTACCGAGCGCGGATGTCAAACCCTTGGCGGCATCGGGATGTTAGTCCATCAGGGGGCTATCGCTTTTGAGAAATGGACAGGTGTTACACCGTGCACTCAGACAATGCGTCAAGCCCTATAGACATGACTCTCCGCTGGAGAGTTTCAAAGGAATTTCTTTTAAGCACCGCAGCGGGTTGCCAAGTCTATAGAGTTATCTCATAACCTCATACGGTTCACCAAGACATACGAAAGGGGTCAATAACGATATAATGCAACAAGAACAGGATTTCATGCCGATTCGCTTCGTTATACTCGGCACACCTTATACCATAAAACCGACAGAAGAGTTAACGGCAGAAGCCATCAACGAACTGGTTGTATACGTCAAAAATTTAGTTGAATCCTATCTCAGAAAAGGCTTTGACGAACAAAGGGTTCCGTTGCTGGTCGCTTTCCACATCGCTGATGAAAAACGCCGTCTTCAGGAAAAGTATGAATTGCCACTGTACCGAATAGCAGAGAGGTTACAATTTGCGATTGAAGAGGAGATTGCGATTGAAGAGGAGACGGAGCCCGAGCGTTCCGATTGAGGCGTTGCGATAGAAATGGCTGTCGGCAGAATAGCCGCCAGCAATCGGCTATCGACTTTCAGTAAACAGATTCTCTTTCTGACCGCTGACTGCTGATGGAAACTGACAGCCAATATGAGGTACCTGTTGCCCACCCTAACGGAGTAGCAGCACCGCGAGAATGCCAAATATCGGTAGCAAGGCGATTAAAACTTTGACTTCGACCAGATAATTTTTGTAACGTTGAACTGCGGAATCTTGCTCTATCCACTGGTTGATGAATTCAATTCGTCGATAGATGGACGGGTGTGTGTTGAAAATTTCAAAGAAACGCCGAATCGACCTCGGCACTGAATTCAGCACTGCGAGTTTCGTCAATGCCCCTTTGAATGCTTCCGGTTTCTCTGTAAGCCTAACCGCATATAGGTCGGCTTGATGCTCGCAGCGCCTTGACAAATACCGGAAGATAAATATGAAATAAATGATTAGAAAGGTCAGCGAACATAAGGTCGATACCACTGACAAAAGAGACTGTGATTCTCCGAGGTATGCTACCAACGGTGCTTCAACAAGCATATAGAAGAAGGGATAATTCAAGAGATAGAAGAGTGAAAAAAGCATATATGTTGGAATGTGCCTATAGCGGATATGTCCAAGTTCGTGAGCGACAACAGTTTCAATTTCTTCGTCCGTGAAGTATTCGAGAAGCGCGTCTGTCAGAAAAATGCGACGATTCCACGGAAAGGTTCCCGCGACAGCTGCGTTGGCTATCAACAGCGAACCGGTTTTCCACACCAGAATCTCCCGGTATTTTATACCGCTCTGTTTCGTCAGTCCATCCAATTTCTCCTTCAGTCCGGAATCCATCGCGAGACGTTCCGTTTTCCATAGAAACCGCATCAATAATGGGGCAAGAATATAAGCGGAAACAATTACCGGCAGAATCAGCCCAATTAGGATGTACGGATGCTCAACGATGAAGACTTTTGCAGAATAGGGGAGCCAGTGAACAGCGTCTATAATCATTAAGTAAACGAACATCGGCAACAGTGGAAAAAGTAAAAACTTGAATTGCAGGCTGAGAATCTCTCTGTAGTGCCCTTGTTGGAGCCTATTCACCCGATAAAATGCAAGTCGGATACAGATGAGCCCGATCAGTAAGGGAAGCAACGCGAGTGTCTGGCGTAGATTTGCCATCGGAAAGAATGCAAAGTGTTTGTCAATTAGCATGGGCAGATTCAACAGATACAGATTGCAGAGGTACGCCGCTAAACTGAGGCACTCAAAAACAATCATGAAGCGTCGCAGGCGATAGAGCGTTGGTAGGTTCTCCTCTTCGCGTGCCGGAAAGGTTCTCGCCACATACGCTGTCACGAAACACGTGACAAGAACAGGGAACCCTGTCAATACAATTGTCCAGAGGAGCACCTGCATATCACTCATGTTCATGTCTGTTTGTGGCGGCTCAAAGGAAAAAAGAAAGAGCAGTCCAGCAATTAAGATGATACTTATCTGTCCCATTCTATCAGTAACCTTTCTGAGTTCATTAGGACTTACGCACGTTGCTCTTTTGTAGCATAACCTGTTAGGTTGTGTCAAGAAACCGTCTGCGTTTTTTACACGATCTCTCTTTCAAGGCGCGGGCGATGCTCAAAATTGCGTAAGTCCTGTTCATAGTAAATAGACCCGACGTACTTGGTAAACCCATCAATGTCGGTTTCTAACACGCGTCGGTATTGAATTTTAACGCATCTCGTATCAAAAATCAAGAAATGTTTTAAAGCCTCATTTCAGTTGCTTTAACATCTGTGAAAAAAACGCTTGACTTTTTTTAAGGAAAAGTTGTATAATTTATATCAAAGCACCTGTGAGAGTAAATTGCTTGCAGGTCTCCCACATTGCAAAGTTCGTGATGCAGTTTCGGGCATTGAAAAACCGTTGTCTGCGCGGGAAGTAAGTTGTCCCGTTTGCATACATACACTTTCACTGAAAACACAGACAAGTGAAGATAATATCTTTTTTTGACAATATCAGACATAAGTGATATTGTTTGTATTAGCACTTGGACAGCAGTCTCACCCCGCACGCTTGTGTGGGTGCTGTCCTCACCAGTGAGACGGTGTTAGTGTGAAACCACTTAAAACATTCGGACGAGGCGTAAATCTATATCGGTAGATACCCTCTGCCATCCACCTCGTCCACCCTAATAACCATCGCGGTCGGCTTGGTCGAGATGTAAAACGCCTGCGGAGTCCGTGTAAGACCTTATCCAATCAGCACTACGATGCTGGCGGAGGCACTGGACGTTGAAACAGGAACTACCTCTACAGACATAATCAGTTATCTGCAATTATCTGTAGTAAAAGGAGCAGGAATCCATGATAAGTAGAACCGCTTTCACAATTATCGCTCTTCTGGGTGTTGCACTTGTTGTAAGTAGTTGCGGCAAGTTAAATCAGGAAGAGTTTGAAATGTGGAAGAATGAACATGTCTCGAAGATTGAGCAAGCTGATGCAGACATGTCAAACAAGATTACAATGCTGGATGGCAAGGTCGATCAGCAGGGCAAAGATATGACGGAAGCGATTTCCAGGGCGAAGGATGAGGCGATTGCCGCGTCCCAGCAAGGGGATGCCGATACCATTGCTGCTGGCATGCAAAATGCCAAAGAAATGGATGCGCAACTCCGCGCCGACCTAATGAAGTCCATTGATATGCAAGGGCAAAAAGCAATGGACTCTGCTAAAGGCGAAGATGCAAAACTGCAAAAACAACTTGATACCCACGGAAAAGCTGACATGGCGCAAGACGCAGCGATAGAGCAGCTTGCGTCCAAGGTAATGGCTATAGAGGAAGGGATTAGCCATGGTGGCAGAAGAAGTTGCCGCAGTGCCGACAATGCTGGTTACCGTCAATTTCGACAGTGGTCAAACCGGTTTATCCAGCGACGCAAAGCAGATGCTTGATGGTATCGTTGAACAACTCATGGAAGCTTCGGATGCCAAGATCAAGGTTGTTGGACACGCTGATGGCATGCCAGTACTGTACGGAAGCTATAGAAGCAATTGGGACCTCTCACAGGCACGCGCGAACTCTGCCGCAAAGTACCTGCAATCAAAAGGAATCGCTGCTGGCAGCATTGAGGCTGTTGGTAAAGCACACACCGATCCTGTTGCTCCACAGAACACTGCCGCAGGTAGAGCTATGAATCGTCGGGTCGACGTTATTTTGGTTCCCGCACATAGCCATAGTCACACACTTTAATTCCAAATTATTCATGGGGTGGAAGCCGTTTTAGCTCCTCCGCCCCAATGCGTGCAGTCCAAGTGTTTTTGTATCAACGTAGAGGCGGGTCGTTGTACCCGCCTACTGCTGTCATATTACTGCCCTATATGCGCATCGGATAAGGATTTTACCACTTATGCGTTTGGTATTTGCCTGCTGCTTGCTTTTGCTGTTGATTCCCTGTCTAACACTTGCAGATACCACCGATGTGCAACCTCTGCGACCGTCACCTGTCCGAGATTTTTTAGCAGAACACCTGCAATTTCCGTCGTTTCAGTTGTCTCTATTTTCATACAAGCCGGAGTTGGGTAGCCTGACTGATATTCTCCAGAGTGTCGGGGTATCGCAGATTCCGGGTGCGCTGTTACCAACGTTTTCGGTTGTATTTGAACATAGTCACCGAGTTAGATTCACGTTTGGAGTTTGGCTATTGGCAAATGGAACTTGACATCCCGCCGCCTACCTCAGCGAGTCTCTCTACCACCCTTATCCCAATTTCCTATCAGTTTATCTATCGCCCGGTGCTTCTCTCCGAATATCTCCCCAATCTACTTGGGGGGCGGTATCGGTTATTTGGGAGCAAGCTTTAGTGGTAGCGCAATCGATTTAATTGAACAACAGGGTATTAGCTTTGATAATGGCTCTTCAGGTCCTACCGGATATGTCCTCATCGGGGCAGAAATCCTACAGTGGGACCATAACCTTTCACTCAACTTTGAGGTGAAACGGATACTCAAAACAGTAGAAACAACTGGCACTGTCCCACTCGATCTGATTTTAGACGGCACTGCAATCGGGTTGGGTGTCAAAATGCGATTTTAAATGGAAACCATCAGCGATCGGCTGTCGGCTATCGGTCTCCGTCAGTAAAGAGGTTTCTGGTCAATTTTGTGGCGTACTCGCCCATAAGCGATCTGCTTCAACGGAGCCTGAACCCCGTAGGGGTGAAATCTTTGTAGAGGAACGATGCCCAAGAGCCCGTAGTCAGAAAAACGGATGTCCTTAAAGCACGGAAACCAGCGAATTCTCCCACTTGTTGTCTGTCTCGTATTCGGCTGTATCATCGGCGGTTACTCGGATACGCCACTCCCGCTTCTCAGCTTATTGGCTGCGACCGGTGTTTTCGTCTTTCTCGGCATGGAACTTGCGGTTTATCTGCTGTTAATCGCGCTGCCCTTTTCATTTCGCTACATTCTCCCAAATCGCTTCGAGATTCAAACACCGACAGAGCCACTATTAGGCATGCTCGTTGCCGTTTACTGTGGACAAAAAATACTTGATTGGGCACTCCGCAAGAATAAACCGGAAAACACCTTCCCCTTTTTCACCCCACTCTGCTTCTATATCTTTGTTACATTCCTTTCTGCAATCAATACGCCGGATCTTTTTGGCACACTTAAAGGAGCACTCCGTGCGACAGTCTACATGCTGTTTAGCGTGATAGTGCACGCTGTCATCCAAAACAGGACTGCACTGAAACGGCTTTTTATTGCCAGTTTTCCATCTGCCGCGGTTGCTGTCATTTGGACGGTTATTGTTCTCATTTATCACATAGACGCATGGCAGTGGACGAGCGCGTACCGGAGCGCGCCGTTTACGAACTATTCTGTTTATGGTGCGTTTACTGCGCTCTTCTTCCTTGTCTGCCTCAGTCGTCTCCTCTTTGACAATAGCGGGTACGACCGCGTGCTCTGGACAGCATGGTCTATCTGCTTCGGTATAGGTCTCCTCATGTGCTTTTCGCGTGGTGTCTGGCTATCGGTCATCGTTGCGATAGGTTTCATGCTGCTGCAACTGGGAAAAGGCGTTACGCATAAAAAGGTTCTGTTTATCGGTGCCACATGTCTTATCTCTACTGGTGTGTCTGAATTTGCCCGGTATCTACAACATTCTTGTTGAACGTATCACGTCCGCGGTGGACCTCAGTTACGCTTCAAACCGAGCGCGCCTCCTACGCTGGGGACAGGCGTTTGCGATGTTCTCTGAAAATCCTATTTTGGGTAAGGGCTATGGTGCGTTTGCGATGTTGTACGAGGAGGATGTCGCACTTGTTGGAAGTTATACGGCACAGTACCAACTCGGTGCACACAGCGAATATCTCCAAGTTATGGCGGAATTGGGAATTATTGGATTAGGCATCTGGATTTGGCTGAACCTTGCTTTCTTACGCTACGGTTTCCGTGCCCTCAAAACGTTAGAAGACGGCTTTTATCGTGCCATCGTCATTGGATTGATAGCAGCAGAAATTTCATTGATGGTGCATTTCACAGTGAACAATTTGCTGAACGGTGATGCTATCGGGATCCCTTTTTGGGGTATCTACGGATTACTGCCAGCTGTCGTGCAAATGGCGGATCGTGAAAAGACTACATCCGAAACTGAAGACGATGTATAATATGAGATAGATTTGTAGGTAGGCATTGCCCTTCTCAGTTTTGCTCAACCCAACCTACGTGCGAAACTGACACCTACATACCTACATCACCTTTTATCAATGGAGAAATCAATTGACATGAACATTATCCATATTATTTCAGATACATTTCGACGCGATAACCTCGCTATCTATGGTGGAAAAGGATACACGCCGTCCCTGAATGCCTTCTCGGAAAAATGTGTCGTTTTTGACAAAGCGTATGTGTGTAGTTATCCGACTGTCCCGATCCGAGGGGATTTGGTGACAGGTCAGGTTGGTATCTGCCGGCGGGGATGGGAGCCGTTGAAGCGAGATGTCCCTGTCATCGCGAATGATTTAACGGACGCTGGGGTCGTTAGCATGATGATCGCAGATACGCCCCACCACATCAACAACGGTTTCTTTTACAATCGCGGGTTCACTGGATGGAAATGGATCCGAGGACAGGAAGGCGATTGCTTGGAGACGCATCCGTACGATTACGAATCACAGGACGCATTACAGTATCGCGAGTATACACGAACACATCCGAACAAGTTGCCCGCTGGACTCGGAAACCACCTGAGAAATATTGCGTTTCGGCAGACCGAGGCAGACACTTTCGTTGCACAGACCGTGCAGACGGCTTGCGACTGGTTGGAGCGTAACCATCAACACGAAAACTTTTATCTGATGGTGGACACCTTCGATCCACACGAACCGTGGGATGCCCCTGAATGGTATCTAAACCGTTTCGACGCAAGCGACTACGACGGACCGGAACCGATCTATCCACCCTACGGTCCCAATCCGATGAATGAACGCGAGACGGAACGTCTCAACGCGCTCTACCGTGCTGAAGCATCACTGGTTGACAACTGGATCGGACAACTCTTACGGAAAATTGACTACATGGGCTTGATGGAAAACACGATGGTGATTTTCATGGCGGACCACGGCTTCCTATTGGGTGAACACGGACTGCTCGCTAAAAACCTTAGCATGTATGAAGAGATTGTCCATATCCCATTACTGGTTTATCACCCGGAGGCGACACCACGTCACACAGATGCGCTCGCCAGTATTATCGATATTCCGCCTACCGTTATTGATGTATTTGGGGCAGAACGCGCAGCACAGGTGGAGGGTAACAGTCTTCTCCCAGCTATCATGGGAGATACCGACACAGGACGTGAGTATGCAATTACGCATGGCGCCTGGGTCGGCGGATGGAGTCCTGATGGTGGAAGCCCGCATGGAAACATCACCGATGGCACCTGGTCCCTGCTTTTAGAGAACCAAGGCGCACCGAATCAGTTATTCCATTTACCCTCTGATCCGGATCAGATGCAGAATCGGTTTGAGTCAGATACGTCAGAGGCGCGTCGGCTCTACCAAGCATTTTTGGACTTCTTAGCACAGCACGGCGCACCTGCAGCAATGGTGACAGAATTCCAGAATCGGTGGCAGGATTGATTTATGCGAAGGACATCCGTTTCTCAAAAGCGGTGCCCCTTCCCAGTAACGGACGGGTACCCCGGTTCGTAGTAGCGCAATTCATTGCGCGTTGCATAAGCCTTGAAATATTTTTCACTTTTTATCCGCTGCCATCGGTTCAGTTGCTAAGTATTTCTCATCCGTCTCTATATCGGGCGGATAGCGAATCTCCCAGACTTTGATGTCTTTCGTGGCACTGTCATCTGTTGGATAAACAGGAACGAAGATATCGGTGTGTTCACCACGCAAGAACAATTTGACAGCGAGGCTGTTCCAACCGAGCGGCGGGATGTAATAGCCTCCGCGCAAGTGGGTTTCAGCGTCAAAATCCAAAACGAGTCCGCCGTTTTCGATGTCCACTGAAATTTGAGAAGTCGGGGTGTTGACAGTTCTTTCTACCCTTATATCCCTTACCAAGGTTTCTCCGAGTTCTCCGGCAGCAACTGTCCCGTTTTCGTCTTTAAAGTGCGCAATAATGGATAGCATGTCAGACGAGGTACGGGCAATGTCAATGAAGTCTAACGGTGTATCTGTCCCTCTTGGTTGCATCCGATATGGCGTACCGATGGGGGTTTCTGTCCGCGTGAGTTGATAGTTCTCAAACTCCCTATTGTTGTTTTCATCACTGCCCATGCTTGAATAGTCTCGGGAGCGGGATAGCACGCCCTGCTCTGTCAGCATCAGATGCGTGGCGTTGTGCGTTTTGAGAAATTCCAGTGCTTCGCGTTCGTCTGTGCACAGAAGACGTGTCGGTAATAGAGATGTATCCAGTGCGGAATAAAATGGTCGGAGTCAACAACAGTATTAACACCGCCAAGAACATTGAGTTGTGTGCCGTATCCCCAATTCGCTGCGATCACGGATTCTTTGGGGAGGGTTTCGTTTATCCATTTAAAAGTCTCTGACCTGCTACCTTGTCCTGGAACAGGTGGCCGCATGCGAGTAGCAGCATAGATAGATTTGTTTGCATGTCCCCCAATCGGTGTCCAAAACAGGACGGGTATCAACACGATGAGGGCAAAGACGGCAGTTGCACGTTTTTCCTTAACATGTGGATACACGATCTTTGCATCTTTGAGCCACTGTATGAGGTGCACAGGAAAAAACCAAAGAAGCCACGCCGTGCCGTAAGCGATCGGCATGCCGATGAAAAAGTCGTGTCGCTTGCCGCCGCGCGAGAGTCCCACCCACAAAAGAAACCATGCAAGCGTCGCGAGTGTTACCAATTCGTCTTTTGCTACTTCCTTTCGGAGACACGCAATACCGATTGATAGACCTGTCAATCCCAACGAAATAAAAAAGAGCGCGTTGCAGGTATCTTCTCCTATCCACCCGTTAACCTGTGTGCGAAAGAAGGTTGTGCCGACAAACAGAGATAGTGAGAGTGTCAGAGGGACTCCTTTCCACTTCCACAAGTGGAGACAGGTGGTTATCAGCCCGAGACTACCTAAGACAAACACAGTACCGTATCTGCTTGCCCAAAATCTAAAATGTGGGTCGGCTAATTCTCCCACGTTTTGCATGAGTTGACTTTCACGAAACGGATATGCTGTCTCAGCAAAGGTGCCGGCTTGCATGAAGATATAGCCGACTCCCGCGGCAATGCTAAGCAGCGTTAACCCCCACGCGAGTTTTTGTGGGTGTGGACGGAGTTGTTCAACGTACTTGAGGAGTAGGAATTTTGATCCGCGCAGCGCAAAGACTGTCAGCGGCGGGATTAACATCAATGAGGCGACATGCGTTGAGAAACCGTATCCACTTCGATAGGCGGGACTGATAAGATAAAGCCACGGGACGAACATCAGCATCCAGAGGAGATATTCTTTGAGGTAGTAGGCAGACTCCGTTCTGCCGTCCACGGATGGATCGTGTTCCATATCTGTGGTACAAAACTTCCAAAGTTCCACCGCAACAATCATCAAGACGAAAAACCCAAAGCCTTCCCAACTCAATCCACCCAAGAAAACGGTGAATCCAGCGAGTGCGGTGGCAATCCATCTGTGTCTTCCGGGCTCCATACTCTCCTTATAGAGGTAACTGGTGACGGCAAGGGTGCCGAGCATCCAGCACCATGCATCTCTGTCCCCAAAACCCGCCGCGCTGCGTTCTATACTCCCTGGCAGTGTTGCGAGAAGAAGAGCAGTGATTAAGGCAAAAACGACTCCGTAGACGTGGGCGAGGAAAAAACACAATACAGCGAGTCCGAGTGTGAAACAGATAGCGGAGGCGTAGACCTGGATGTGATAAAGCATGAGTTTCGGAAACACCCACCCGATGGCTTTGTGGGTGTAGGCGATGGCATACGCGTAGAACGGAAATAACTGTTCGTTGTCTCTGCCGTGTGGTAGCCAACGGCGCATATCGCGTGCGGGGAGGACTCCGTGTTCAGCAATCTCTTGCGCTTGCCCCGCAAAGAGATAGGCATCGTTAGAGGTAAACTGCCCATCTGGTAGTCTGTTGACACCTTGAACGCGAATCCAACACGCAAGCAACAAAATGGCACATAAAGCGATTTTTTGATAAAAATTCATTGTGATATAGGGTGCTCCTCATGCATCGGTTCGGAGTGCATCCATGGGGGACATCAGCGATGCCCGTATGGCGGGATAGACACCGAAAATAACGCCCATAAAGATTGAAAAGAGGACGGATATGACGATCCAGGGCACCGATAAAACAACGGGCCACTCGGGTACAATCGGCACAATCCGAATGGCAAGCCGTGCCATACCGTGGGCAGCAAGCCAGCCACCTGCGATACCGAGGACCCCACCACAGAGACAGAGACAGACAGATTCTGTCAAGAATTGATAGAAGATGTCAATACGTCTTGCACCGACGGACTTCCGGAGTCCTATCTCGCGTGTCTTCTCCCCGACAGAGACGAGACAGATATTCATGATACCTATGCCACTGACAAAAAGCGAAAAGCCGGCAATGCTCCCCAAAGCGATTTTTATCACTTTTTCAATATGCTCAAGTTGTCGGATGCTGCGTTTCGGTATCCGATATCCGATAAAATCATCTTTTCCGCGATGTCTTTCACGTAGGACCTCCTTAACAGCATCAATGATATGATAAACATCTACGTCCTTTTGAAAAAAGATAACGAGGGTACTAATGTAGCGGGTGCCTACGAGCCGTTGTTGACGTGTAGTCAACGGCACACAGACGGTATCATCTAAAGAACGCCAGGATACGAGGCTGCTCCCTTTTTTTTTCATCACACCGACAACACGCAGTCTTACCGGAGGCAGCTGCCAAGAAAAACGAACCTTCACCTCTTGCCCTATAGGGAGGGCGTTTGGGAACAACTCATTGGCAATGTTAGCACCCAAAACACAGACTTGTGCTGCATTTTCAATATCATTCTCAGAGAGGAATCTACCTTCTTGAATCTTCCAGTACATACCGAATGCATAGTCTGCGGTGACTCCTTCCAGATGTGGACTGGGTTGACTACTGTATCGACTAGTAACGAGGTGGGGACGATAGTTTTCATTTTTCGGTAAAACAAATAGAACGTTAGGGCATCCAGCTTCAATAGCATAAACATCTTCAAGGGTATATCTTTCGGTAGTGCGCCGCACGAGCCGTCGGCGTTTCCAAATGGATGTACGCGTCCAGAATTGAACTTGGTTTGCACCGCCGAGTTTTTCCAGGTCTTTGGCGATGAGGTGTTTCGCACCATCGCCGATTGCCATCATGCACAGCACACTTGCAATGCCGATGAGGATGCCGAGAATGGACAATCCGGCACGCAGCCTGTTTTGAGAGAGGTGTACAATGCCCGATGCAATAGCATCATAAAGTTTCATGCTATAAGTAAGGCTTCATATCCCATAAGAGGAGAGTACCATCAAAACTGCCGCTCGCCAAAAGCCGCCTATCCGGTGAAAAGGCGAGGTCTTGGATATCGGTGGGGTGTCCCCAGAAGGTGGCGATATTCTCACCCGTTGCCACCTCCCACAACCGGACAGACACCTTCTCGGTCCCATCCCACCAAGCACCAGAAGCAAGATAGTATCCATCTGGTGAAAATGCCAAGGCAAACTGCCTCCGACACGTCAATGGCGGTAATATCGCTCTGAGCACTTCATAAGTCGTCGCATCCCATAACCGAATCTCGCCATATAGCCCACCCGCAATGATGTCACCACGAGGGGAAAATGCAAGTGCCCCGATTTCAGGACGTGCAGGCTTATCTCCTCGCTCGCGCCTTTCACGCTGCTGCTCTATGAGCTCTTGTTTGTGATACAGATCACCATTATAGCGTTCTGGGTTTAACTGGGTTAAGGAGAGCGAGATCAATTCCGCACCGGATGCGACATTCCATACCCGAACCGTTTCATCATTTGAAGCACTCACGAGGCGTTTGCCATCCGGGGCAAACGCGAGTGCCTTAATGGTAGCAGTGTGACCAATGAGGGCATTCCGCTGGTTTCCATGTCTATCCCACACATATAACTTGCCGTCGTAGTCTCCACTTGCCCATTTTTCGCCTGTAGGCGAGAACACAGCCGCCTGCACATACTCTTCGTGTGCAGTGTGCCCAGTGAGGGTATGGTGATTACCTTGCCTATCCCACACATATAATCTACTATCTAGATCCGCGCCTTTCTCCCCAGGCCTTGCCGCGAAGGGTACAGACTCCTGGATTACAGCCGACCAATCAATTGTTTGATGCGTTTCAAGATTCCACACGTAAAGCATGTTCCGAGCACTGCCCAATGCGTCTACATTTCCAGAAGGGGAGATATAGACAGAATGGATTTTCGTTTCTGTGTTGATAGGGGTGTTTGTCGCCGCACGGGATATCAACCGCAGGGATTGTTTTTTGGAAAACACATCCCAACAAATGGCAGGCCCCGTGCCAGCAGTTAGGAGCGTTTGTCCATCTGGCGAAAATGTCACACAGGATGGAAAGGAAATTTCCGTAGAAACAACGGCGACAGTGTGTGGCATATCTACATCCCACAAGTTAATCTCTGCTGCACGTGCGAAAGCCAGAGAGGTGCCTTTTGAAAACCGGATGCTACCGATGGAAGCAGGTAGTTTGAAGGTTTTTAATTTTTCATGGCGTTCCACATCCCACACAAAAGTTGCAGCGGTGTCAACTTTACCTACTCCAGCGGCACGCAGCGCTCCCGCCGGTGAATAAGACGGAATCATCCAATGCTTTTCAGCATATTTGGAAAATACGCGTGTCTGGTTGCCGGTGGTGACACACCACTCTTGTAAGATACCAGACATATCACCAGCGGCAAGATACCGTCCACAAGGGGAAAATGCAAGGAAAAGGACTTGTGTCGTATTTCCGTTGAAAGAAGCAATGTGTTCACCTGTTGTTACATGCCACACCGAAATGAAATCGGCGGTACCCGCTGCGTTAGCAGGGCTAGCACAGGCCAAAAGGCACCCATCATCGGAAAAACAGAGCGGTCGGCGCAATCCACGCCATCTAATCTTTATATCTGGAGTGGCGGAAAATCGGGAGATCTGTTCACCCGTTTCCGCATGCCAGATGTAAACAACACCTATTGATGTAACCGAAGCAGCAATGTACTGACCGTCCTCAGAAAAGACAACCCGTGAAATTCCCTCATGCTCCTTGCTCCCTTTCCTTTCTGAATGTTTCATTCTGGAAATGCATATCCCGCGATAAAGGTCCCATACCTTAAGGATACCATCTACATTGCCAGTGACAAGCCCTCGGCTTTCATTAGAGGAAAAATCAAGAGTAGTAACCATTCCGCGTTCCGCGTCCCACAACGCGATAGGTGCCAGTATCGAGCGTTCATATACCCACGCTCCTATGTCAGTTCCAACTGCAAAATATTTCCTATCTTGCGAAATTGCCAGATCGTTCACGCTTCCTCGCCCTAATCGGGCAATTGCTCCCTTGGGTAACCTCCATGTTGCAACATCTTTGTTTATATTTACACTTTGTTTCTGAATTTGCGAGATTTGATTTTCCATCTGAAACCATTTTTCTTGGAAAACGAGAGCGTCCCATGCCTTATAGACGAATGTTAACAGCTACGTAAATACCTTCACTCGAAATTAACATCGGATGCTCTCATTTCACATGAAACGTCTATTTCTCTGTACAACCAGCACCGCCACTACATACTGAGTTACTTTTGCATTCTTGACAGGTGCTAGGGTAACTACAACCATTTCCACCAGTTGGACATGTAGGTGTACTGTTGCTGAAACTGCTTGCCGGAAGGGGATTATCCTTTCCACCACAACAGTCGTCAGTCACTGTAGTATCCGTAGGGATACTACCGCCGAAACCGCCGCTGCTGTCCGTAGCAAAGGAAGTCACCTCTGCCTCACCGCCGCCACAGCAACCGGTGGCCTGCGACTCTGAGACCGCCCCATCAAACGTAAACATGAAAATAGCACCACTCACGAACATCAAAGCAATCATGAATTGCCAGATAGTGTGCCGGTTTTTGTAAAAAACGTGAATCATTATCTTTTCCTTTCCCCGCGAGGGATGTTTGTAAAATACCAACATTTACGAAAAATGTCAAGCATATAAATCTTGACCTCTTTTATCTATCAATCCCATCATCGCGCACAACGCATGCAACAGGAACTATGCATTGAGGAAGTCCTCAATGCAACACAAAAAGCCCGCGACACAACTTGCCGTTCAAGACGAAGTGCGCGGGCACGAAGGCAGTAAGAGAAACCTCCGCCTTGAACTTTATCCGGCAACTTCGTATGCTTTCCATCCCAAAATGCGTTTTGGGATGCCCCTTTATTATATAAGACGCGTAACTAAGGCAAAACGGTCACTTTTGGATAAAAAAGTGATTTAAAAAATGGACTTCCAATATCTTAGCCAATTAATAGCACCAATCAGTGCCAGATATTCTTAGAGCACTTGATTATTCCTTTTTATCCTCCATTGGGTTTTGTTGTTTCGGTACTGACGAAAACCGTTGAAAGCCTTTCCACAATTTCAAGCAATTTTGCCAACTTTTAGATGAAAATTCGGATTTTTTATCTTTTTTGAATTATGCACGTTTTTCGCCGAAAAAAAGAGTCTTTAAGTACAACAATGTGAGTTTGACTTAAGCACATAGAGTGAGTTGAATGGAATACGAAATATCAGAGGTGTTCGGCACAAAATCCTCTTGACACTAATTTTCACTGCAAAACGCTTTGTAGAAAGGAAGCAGAATTGCAGAATGAAATTGATGACAAGGATAATGAAGAATTGATGGCACTCATTGATGAATATAAACAGATGCTGAGACGCATTATTGAGTCAAATGTTCACGACCCAGTTGATGTTGAGGATGTCTACCAAGAGACAGTGCTTGCGATTCTCAAGCATTTTCGTAAGGGAAGACCGGTGAAACATCCGAAAGCGTGGATGGCAAAGATCGCCAAAAGCAAGTGTATTGCTTTTCATCGACGGGATAAAAGAGATGCAAACAGAAATGTTGATTTAGCACCTTTTATCAATCTTACTGCTTTTGGTGGCGGTGTGAGTATTGCCGATGAACAGCATCAGGCGGTGGTTGTTCAAGAAATTCGCAATGTGATCGCGGAGATGAAGTCTACTTACAGAGATGTGGGAGAGTTGCATATCCAAGGATACACCGTCCGTGAGATTTCGGAATTGTTAGAGATTCCGGAAGGGACAGTGAAATCTCGTCTTCGGAAGTTTCGGCAGTCAATACAAGAATATCTGGAGATGGATACGCCACCACCGAAACAGAGGAAGCCATAATTGCAATTTTCACATATTGTGAATACCGAATGAAGAGAAAACTCTCAAGTGTGTGACACAGCAGTTTGCTGGATGCGTTTCAGATCAGTTGAGAGTATCTTGCATGTAGACATTTCCTGGCAAGCGCGTTATGCGGATCTTAGTCGTTTTTCAGTAATTCTTAGGACTTACGCAATTTCCGATGAGTGCCTACGGCCCGCACACCGCTGGCGAGGTTTCAAACCTCGCCAGCAAAGGGAGCTGCGTAAGTCCTGATTCTGTCAACACACTACGTCCAGTCCATGATGACGCCCAAGTATTCATCCTTGCGATCCGTCAATCCATCGTAGGCAGATTGCGCCGCTTCCGGGTCAATTACGTGCGTCAGCAATTCTTCTACCTTGAATTTGCCTTCACAGATGAGTGAATAGGCTAAACGAGAGTTACGTTCCAGTGAATGTTTCGACTCGCCAGTGTGCATCGTCGGATAGACCCACTCATGCGCACTTCTAAGCGTAACCGCGCCCAAACCGATACTGTGGCTGTAGTTCAGAATCTCGGTTGCATTGGTGATGTATTCGCCTCGCGGTGAACCCAGTAAGATGACCTCTCCCTTGGTCCCGGTCAATTGGTACGCCGTTTCGACGAGTCGTGGGTTTCCGATCGCTTCGACAGTGACCGCGGTTTTCTCGCCGTTTGTCAACGCTATAACACGTTCCAGAGCATCTTCTTCATCTGGATTAATCAAGTGTTGAATACCACACCGCCGTGCAATCTCTAAACGGCGTGGGACGCGCTCAATACTTATAACTTTCATTCCAGCCAAATTGAAAAGTTGCGATGCGGAGTTGCCTACCAACCCCAAGCCAATAATAGCAACGGCATCTCCAAATTCGGCAGAAGATACTCGCAGAGATGTCATCGCGACCGTTGCCATTCGGACGAACGGAACCAGTTTTTCATCTATTTCTAAAGGGGGTTTAAACGCTAAAAGTACTGCCTCAGCTTTGGCGATAGAGGCGTGTGGACCATAGTAGAAAGCGAGGTCCCCCGCGACACATTTGGTCACGTTTTCACCGACTTTGAGAACTTCACCAATCGCCGTATAGCCAGAGCCGTGCGGGAACCGAGTTCCGCTTTCGAGTCCAGTATACCCTGCGCCCTCGGTGCCGGGACTAATCAAACTATAGTGCGTTTTTAACAGAATTTGGTTCGGCGAGAGTGCCTCGTCAAGTTCAAAATCCTCCAGCGTTGCCGAACGTTTCGCTGGCATTATAACCCGTTTGCCTTTCATTCCGTTATGCTCCTTGTTGAATTTTTCCTATTATGGTATCATATTAGCAAAACTTTTTATATTTTTAATTATTCCTTGCGGTTCGGTGAAGTGGACTGGCGGCTTTGACGTTCCTCGACGTAGAGCCAGCCCGGCACGTTGTTTGGGCTTACGTTTTCTTTATAACTTTCAGACGCAGATTTTTAATTATCCCTTGCGGTTCGGTGAAGTGGGCTGGATACTTGACGTTTCTCGGCGTAGAGCCAGCCCGGCACGTTGTTTGGGCTTACGTTTTCTTTATACTTTCAGGCACAGAACTGGATCCCTTAAAAAGGAGATATTTCCTTATGAGACTTACGAAAGAGCAGTGCGAAACCTACTGGACACAAGGCGTACTGATAGTCAAAAATGCCTTGACTGATGAAGACCTACAGCCAGTGATTGATGAGATTTCAGATTGGATTTCGGAACGCGCCCTTGCCTTAAAGCAGGAAGGTAAAATCGAAAACCTTTACGAAGACGACCCCTTTGATCGACGGTTTGGAAAGTTGCTGGCACAGTCCGGTGAGATGGTGGGCGGCTTGGATATCATGCACTACCGTGGCAAAGCCATCTTCGAATTCATAAAGAACGACAATCTTTTAGATGCCATTGAAGGAATTGCTGGTCCCGAGATTACTTGCAACCCCATTCAGCACCTACGTGCAAAGCCTCCAGTTGTGGACGGGAACGCGAGCTGGGCAGGTGGCGTGCCGTGGCACCAGGATGCCGGAGTCATGATGCCGGAAGCGGAAGGATCCACTATTATCACATGTTGGCTTCCTTTAGGCGATAGCACAATAGAGATGGGATGCCTGCAGGCATTGCCCGGCATTACCGAAGATAAAGGTTATCTGAGCCACCAGAAAGAGGGTGGGACTATGATCAAACCGGAGTTGATGCCGGATGTTGAACCACTCATGCTGGAATGTTACCGCGGCGACATTATCTTATTGAGCCGTTTTACGCCGCATCGTTCAGAACCCAACACGTCTGACCGGTGCCGCTGGTCGCTGGATTTACGCTATCAGACCACAGGACATCACACAGGACGCACGGCGCATCCAGACTTTATCGTGCGCAGTCGCAAAAACCCTGAAACTGTCTTGTCCGAACACCAAGCGTGGTGTGATATGTGGGTAGACGCTTTTGAAAACCCGAGCGGCAAATCAATGCATAGGTCGGAGTAGGTATTGATCAATTTTTCTTTTGCAGGAGTCGCAGAACCCATAGCCCGTAACGGAGTGGAGGGCGGGTTTAAGAAAGGCACTTCAAACGCCATTCCTACGCTATTACTCCGCAAGGTAAATTAAAAAAATGCAAGCGATCATTCTATGTGGCGGTCTTGCCACGCGGCTCGGTGAGACAGCGAAAACGCTTCCGAAGATTCTGCTGGAGATCGCTGGGAAAACAGTATTGGAATGGCAAATCCAATTGTTAAGAGATGTAGGCGTTACTACGGTTATCCTCGCGTCGGGATACCTCCACGATGTGCTTTATGAACGCGTAGGAGACGCTTACGCTGGGATGTGCATCCGTTATGCTAAAGAGGAAAAGAGACTCGGCACTGGCGGCGCGATTCAGAATGCGATGAAGCAGATCGATACATCCCCCTTTTTTGTCCTAAATGGCGATATCTTGCTCGCGAACTTTTCGCTGCGGGAAATGTTCGTTCGATTTGACCAAGGAATGGCAGGTGTGCTGTTAAGTGTGCATGTCCCGGACATCCGTCCCTACGGCGAAATCGTATCGAACGGTGAGGGAAAAATTCAGGCATTTCGTGAGAAACAACCTATCTATCGTGCTGGATATGTCAACGGCGCGATATATCTTTTCGATCAAAGCATCGCTGACACGTTTCCAAGCGACCAAGAAAACTTCTCTATGGAACGAGACGTTTTTCCATACGTTTCCAATCTTTATGCGTTACAAACGGACGCCGACTGGATCGATATCGGTGTTCCAGAACGGTTGGCTTACGCGCGTGAACATTTTCCACGCCTCTAAAATTAGAGTAAGGGGTTCATTTTTCGTGATTAGCCCAGAAAACTCAGCCCGTAATGAAATGGAAGGCGGAATTCGGGGTTACAAACCCCTCCCACAACGTCAAATACCAAACTCACTTCACCGAACCGCAAGGAAAATTTAAAAATCTGTCTCATCTCCTGTCCGCAACACGACATAACTCCGATACCGTTCTGTATGTATTTCCCCTGCTTCAACGGCATCCTTAATAGCACAATCAGGTTCCGCGACATGCGCACAATCGCTGTATTTGCATGTGCCGAGGTAGGGTTCCATTTCTGGGAAATAGTGTGCCAGATTTTCCGTATCCACACCCCACAATCCAACTTCCCGGATACCGGGCGTGTCCGCTATTTCCCCGCCGATGTCTAACGAAAAGAGTTCGACAAGCGTCGTTGTATGTCGTCCCTTCTGGGTTTTGATACCGACTTCACCGATTCGCAAATCCAAACTCGGTTGGAGTGCGTTCAGCATGCTGGATTTTCCGACACCAGACGCGCCGACAATCACACTAAATTTATCTTTCAGTGCATTTGAAGTGCGTTTAGACTCTCAGGAACATTGATGCTGGTATAGAGGACTCGGTACCCCAATTTCTCATAAACGTCAAAGATCGCTGTGAGTTCTGTTCGTTGGGCTTCATCCACTAAGTCCATCTTGTTGAGACATACCACCGCTTCCATGTCGCCTGCCTCCGCCAAGATAAGAAACCTATCCAGCGTCCGAAAATTAAGGGGTGGCATAAGCGTAGAGACAACGGCTACGATTTGATGTGCATTCGCAACAATAACCTGTTCAATGTCCTCGTGTTTTCCAGCATATTGCCGCGAGAACTTTGTCTGGCGAGGCAGAATATCCTCTACCACTCCCTCTTCCATATCAAGTTGTGTGAAGATGACCCAATCACCAACAGCAACTGGGTCGGCATACAGTCTGCGTCCGGTTTCAGAACGGTGTCTCCGTTTGAGTGTGCCACGGAGTGTGCATCGCAGGATAATATCATCGTGTTGGACATCATAAAACCCTGTCCGCGCCCGGATGACTCTGCCTTGTTCGCGTGTAAGGATCGGCTCCACCTCCTAAAAGCATGGAAGTAGTTGACACCATATCAAAAATCTGTTAGACATAAGCCTTCATGGTTTCCAAAGCTACCTCAACATCCTCGTCAAAATTGTCAAACTTGCACTCGCACGAGACGCGACCGTCATAGCCCGCTTTTTGGAGTGCTGTGAAGAAATCTGTGAAATCGAAATCGTCGTTTCCGGGATAGGAACGCTTGACAGGTTCCGCTATGTGAACATGCGCGAGCCACTCAGCAGCGTCGATGATGTTTTGCATCGGTTCTTCTTCCTGCCAGATATGATAGAGATCTGCCAACGCCTTGATCCCCGGACGATTCACGCGTTTTGCCATAGCGAGTCCATCTGCGACGGTTCGTAGGATATTTCCCTCTCGCGAACAAATCGGTTCAATTACAATAGTCATGTTGTGTGCTTCAGCATGATCTGCCGCCATATCGAGGAACTCAGCAATTTGTGCCAATGCACGTTCGCGCGAATAGCCTTCTGTTATACTCCGCGAACCGCTGCTGCCGTAGACAATAACTTCACCGCCAATCTCACTGCTTCTACGACATGCAGTTTCTACATAACGAGATAAACGCGGGACATCGACAGTGTCACCTACGACGCGCAGATCACCCGGAATAAATCCTGAGTACGACTCCGGCTTTAACGGTGCTTTCGCCACTTGCTCACGGATTTTCTGAAATTCGGTCTCATCCGACTCGGGCATCAACGCCGGACGGACCCCCAATTCAATGTAGTCATACCCAACTTCTGCGAGCCGATTCACATTTTCTAAACTGGTACAGATCCCAAATCGCATGCATTCGCTCCTTTTTACCTGTGTGCCTAAGGAATTGGAACAAAAAAGGTGAAAAATTTTCAAAGACAGTAATTAGCGGTGCAAGGAAGAGTGCTTATTCTCTATATTTATTTTCCAAATCGTCGTTTTCGTTGACTATAAGCCCGCAAAGCACGGAGAAAGTCAATCTTCCGAAATGAGGGCCAGTACGTATCGCAGAAATAGAATTCTGAGTAAACACTCTGCCAAAGCAAAAACCCTGATAACCGGACCTCACCGCTGGTGCGAATGATTAACTCAGGATCCGGAAGGTTTGAGGTGTAAAGATAAGGTGCAATCTTATCCACTGTGAGTTCGTCTGCAATCTGGTCGATAGGTTTACCACTCTCACCTTCGGCTTTTAGGTGTCCCCGAAATGCTTCAATAATTTCCTCTCGCCCACCATAAGCGACAGCGACATTTAAGATAAACTTGTCGTAATGTTGCGTTGCTTCTTCTGCCTCCCGAATTGCTTCTTGCAGACTGGTTGGTAAGAGTTCTATTTGCCCCATCGCACGTACTTTGATCTGGTTCCTATGAAGTCCTTCAATGGTGACAAGCTCCCGCATTTTCCTTTCAATAAGCCCAAGGATCCCTTCGACTTCATGTGCTGCGCGTTTGAAATTATCGAGGGAGAAAATCCAGATTGAGAAAACTTCAACCCCGAGTTCGTCGCACCAATGGAGTACCTCTTCGAGTTTGTTCGCACCCTCATAATGCCCTTCAATGATGTCGTCAAGTCCACTGGCTTTAGCATAGCGACGATTTCCATCTAAAATTACACCGATATGGCGTGGGATCTTCCAAGCATTGGCTTCGGATTCCAAACGCCGCTGATAAGCATTGTAAAAAAATCTTTCAATTCGATTTTTAATATAGTGGAATGGCTTCATATTTGTATCCTGAGTTTTTACAGATGCAATTTAGGCGCAACCTGCAAGCCCACATTGCAGCATCTATTATAACATGGAAGCGTTATTTAGAAAAGTCTATTTTATGCCGAAGAAACTTGGTTTTTAGCGACTTCAAATTGATTGGTAGATTAAGAAGTACAAGAGATTTTAAATTGACATGTTGTAAAAAATGTGATACATTTATGTAGGGATATTCACAGGTGTATCGTAGGGGCGAGGTCACCTCGCCCCTACCGTTCAGCCCCCAGCCCGAATCGAAAACCACCCCACGCGCAACTGAATAAACATATTCTAAAGCGTGAAGCACCGATGAACCCCGTACGGACTTGAATATCCGTCGCGATTCACCGAACACCATTGTGGAACGTAGTGGAACAATGCCCAGATGCCCATAATTAAAAAAATGGAAGTTGAAACTTTCCCCTTCGCTAACATCATCACGAATCCCTGCCCACGGTGTCACACTCAAATCTATTCTTATTGCTGTTATTCTAATACCGATTAACTGCTACTGGGTTATTGAGATGGAGGTTATTCGATATTCAGGTCACCCTGTGACAATTTCCCTCTTTTTCAATGTGATTTTCAGTCTGTTCATGGTTATCGGTGTAAACTACCTGTTGCGCCGTTTTGTCCCGAGCTTGGCACTCGTACAAAGCGAGTTAGTCGTTGTTTACCTGATGCTTTCCATCGCTTCGGGGATTACTGGACACGATATGCTTGAGATCTTGGTGCCGATGTTAGGGCATGCATTCCGCTTTGCTACCCCGGAAAACGAATGGCAACAGCTGTTTGTCCCCTTCCTGCCAAAGTGGCTCACCGTTAGCGATCCGTCCCTTTTACACGGCTATTATGAGGGTGAACTACCCCTCTATACAGTTGAAACATTGCTCGGATGGGCAACTCCCGTACTCTGGTGGACTGCCTTTATCACTGTGTTGGTTTTTGGCATGCTTTGCATCAATATAATTGTTCGTAAACAATGGATTGAACATGAGAAATTAAGTTACCCAATAATTCAACTCCCACTCCAATTGACAGAAACACCACAGAATCGCCTATTTCAGAATAAATTGATGTGGCTCGGTTTTGGGATTGCTGGTGCGCTTGCTCTGTGGAATGGTGTTAACTTTCTGTATCCGATTTTACCTGAACTACGGACACGTGTGCGAAGTTTCCAAATTTTTACGGATAGCCCTTGGAACGCTATGGGCAGAATTCCGTTTTCACTCTATCCCTTTGCAATCGGGCTCGGTTTCTTTATCCCCCTTGACCTTTCGTTCTCGTGCTGGTTTTTCTTTTGGTATTGGCGGTTTATGCGGGTTCTCGGTGCCGCCCTTGGACTGCGGAGTCTACCCCGTTTTCCTTACATGAACGAGCAGGCATCCGGTGGTTACCTTGCGCTGTGCGTTTTAGCCATCTGGGCAAGTCGCAGACACCTTTTGCACGTTGCAAAAACAGCCTTCGGATTGAATACTCAACAGGAAAACAGTGTAAACATGGCTTCGGGTGGCACCACGCAAGAACCGATGTCATATCGTGGAGCGACGCTTGGACTTATCGCAGTGATGGCATTCCTTGTGCTCTTTTGCTACTACGGGGGAGCTGAACTCTGGGTGATGTTTGCATTCTTCGTTATTTATTACATGATCTCCATCGCCATAACCCGGATGCGCGCCGAATTAGGCACCCCTGTGCATGACCTGCACTATTCCGGACCCGATGAAATTTTGAGGCGCACTGTCGGAACAAGACGGTTAGGTAGAGACAACCTCGTTATGTTCTCAATGTTTTGGTTCATCAATCGGGCACATCGAAGTCACCCGATGCCACACCAACTTGAAGGCTTCAAAATCATGGAACGGACAAACATGGCGACGAATCGTATCATTTTCGCCTTAACACTGGCGACTGTCTTGGGATCATTAGCAGGGTTTTGGGCATTAATCGACCGGGGTTATCGATTAGGCATGGAGATACGTGCGTACTGGCCCTCCTTAAGCGCTTTTGGGATAGAGCCGTATCGTCGCCTTGCAGGATGGTTGCAGGGCCCAGAAGAGACGCTTATCCCTGAAAGTGGATTTATGGGCATTGGGTTTCTACTGACAACAGTGCTAATGTTCTTTCGGATGCGATTCGTTTGGTGGCCATTTCACCCCGCAGGGTTCGCTATCTCTACGAGTTGGGGTATGAATGTTACGTGGAGCTGCCTTTTTATGAGCTGGTTAATCAAGTGGCTTATTCTTCAGTACGGCGGCATCGTTCAGCATCGAAAGATAGCGCCCTTCTTCTTAGGGCTAATCTTGGGGGAGTTTACAGTCGGGAGTCTCTGGACAATTTTAGGGATTATCGCGGGTATTCCCACTTACGGGTTTTGGGTGTAGCAGGGCTACTTCTCGTCCGGTCGCGAACCTATTGCCAAATTCAGCGGTAATAGAAGCAATGTTAGGCTAAACAGGAGCGTCCATTGCCATTCCCATTTGAGGTGCGCCATTCCTAAAAATTGCGCCACAGGTTCGACATAGAGCGTCGTCAAATGGAGTGCTATAATGACAAGTGAAATAATGATGAGACGGGAGTTCGCGAGCACCCTCTGAACGAGTGGTTCCCACGGATAGCGTAAAGCTTGCCAGCATGTAGCCAGCTGTGTGAAGATAAGCGTGGTACACGCTACCGTTCGAGCGATCGCGATATCCAGAGCATTTGGATTCCCAACATCTCCGATGGAAAGAACATCCGTCATTAATGTCGAAACACCGAATGCGTCGGACAACGCAGGCGAACGCCACAGGATAAAGAAGAACGGAATGATTGTCATCAGACTAATAGTCACAGCGCGGCAAACGATATCCACGCCTGTCATTTTTGAAAGGAAGCGCGATCCCGAAAACAGCGTTGGACGGTGATGCTTTTCATCAGCAAATATCCGTTCCGTGCCTATCACTAATGATGGTAATAGGGTCAGGAGAAATTGGGTCCAAATTATCTGTGTTAACGTCAATGGCATAGGCATCTTATAGAGATAGTGTAGTACCGTCCCGAAAGTCAGCGTGAGGAGTAGGGAGAGCGTACAAGAGAAGTTCCACCGTAGAAAACCAGCGGCGTTATGGTACGCCTCGCGAGTATGAAGCAGCACATCTCTTACAGCTTGGAAACCTCCGTTGTTAATTAGCCCATCGGCTGCGGCTTGCACAACATGTGATGCATCGACTCTATTCGCAAGGGTAATATCCGCAACGGTCATTGCTCGGAGGTCTTCCCTACTTTGGCCCAGAAATCCTACTGCATGTCCTTGACGTTTTAAACTGAGGACGATATTCCGACGCTGCTGCCACGTTGGTTGCGAATATGCAATCCACTTTTCTGTTTCACTATCGAGTTGTTCACGCGAGACACTTTCAAGTTCATCCTTTGACACCACTGCTTTCCGGTTGTGGATAAGCCCAAGATCCTTCGCGAGATCGACTGTTTCTTGCTCCTCGCTTTCAGTGATGAGGATAATTTTGAGTCCAGTATCAAGGCTGGACTTCAGGATTGCCTTCGTCCGTTCATCATTGTTGGCAGAAAAACTGATAAACCCTAAAAAGATGGGATTGTATTCCATTTCCTGCGGTTTCAGAATAACATCAGAGGAATGAAAGGCTACGCCATAGACCTGTGTTTTCGTACTCATCAGATAGTCTATGATTTCATGATACATTTCGTACCTGTCGTCTGATAAGGGTGTAACTTCGCCATTAATGAGCACATAACCGCAGGTGTCAAGCACTGTTGGAGCATCTCCAAAGATGATATTAAGATAATCTTCAGGTGCTGACTCGAACACTTGCATTTGATAGGGGTAGTTAGGGTTCAAGGGATACGTGTTCACCAACGGAAGTCGAGTCTTCACACTTTCCAGTTGGTAGCCGAGTTTTTTCACGTCCTTTTGGATGGCGATCTGGGGGGACAGTTCCATCTCGGAAGTTGTCCGTGTGTTAAAGAGGTCGGCACTGTCCGTATCCTGCCCATCAGAAGCACCGAGTCCTGCTGTGAACACTAAGTGTGGGGCACCCTGTGGAATTTTTCCGCCAGGTGACATTGTCTCAATAGTTTCTTGCCGCTCTGCGGGGGTAAGTTCTTTGAGAGAATCTAACCATGCGCTCCATGTTTTACCATCAACCAGTTGTTCATCGACAAAAAGACTTGAAATCGTTAGTGAACGTGTAGTGGAGATCCCATTTTCATTAGCAAAAAAAGTGGTAATGCGACTCAGTTTTTCAAGGCTACGTGAATTTCGTAGCACCACCCCTTTTTCCAACAATCTTTGGGCGTGTTTAGAAAAGAATAAACGGAGCAGTTGAATCACATCTTGCGGGGCAGATGCGACAGCAAATAGCAGTCCTAAATGGATTAGAGATTGCCAATCGGTGGCATGCTTCTGATATTCAAACCACCACGCGATTGCGACAGCCACACCTCCCACGACCATACCTACAATTTTTATAGTGGTATATAAATCTCTTGTCTCACCTTCAGCGAGGGTATTCAAGACGAGCGTTGGACGCGCATTCGGACGTTGTTTCCATATTTCCAACTGCCTCCCTGTCTGCACAACGATTGCAACTCCATGCCCTGCTACAACGTAGGTCCCGCCGAACGCCATGTTTTTCTGTTTTTGAGGCGGTACAGTACTATCTTGAATATCCACCCCTACCTTTTGCACAGGTTCCTCGGTGCCAAAGAGCACGGACTCGTCAATCATAAGACCTTCTGATTCAATGATCCTGGCATCAGCAGGCACATAGTCCCCTGCACTGAAAGGGAGTAGGTCCCCAGGCACGATGTCCTCTGGTACGCACTCATCTAATTTCCCTTGTCGAATAACCTTGATACTATGCACTATGAGCCTATTATGGTTGATATCACGGCTGCGAATGCGGTGTTCCATCATGTATGCGAACACGGCATGAATAACCAGAACTGCTCCGACAACGCTTACTGCATGGAGTGTAACGCCGCTCGTACCGTTGACTAAGGCAGCACCCAGGATGACTGTCGCGACTCCCAAAACAATTACACGCCACGTGAGCAACGATTTCAGAAACGCTTTAAAAGGAAACGCGTCTCCCTCTGGGGACACCTCGTTCTTACCGTGCAGCGCTCTCGCCCTCTGAAAGGCTTCCGCACTCAGTCCCTGATCCATGCTGGAGTCGAATTTATTCAGTATTGATGCAATGTTTTCCGCATGAAAATTTGACATTTTTTTAATTATTAAGCACCTGGGCGTTTCTCCAAATGTAAAGCAAAGACAAATTATGCCTTAAATGGCATAATTTCATTCCGAAACGGTTTACGGTGAAGTCCAACCGCCTCTGAATTATGAGCGGTAGTAGAGGTAGCCCTTGGAATTCTCCCACCCTCTTAAAAATGGTACATCTCCTCAGTCGCATCGGAATTCACCAGAAACCCGTCAGGAGACAGAAATGAAAATGTTTACATTTTCATTTTCTTCCACCTGCATGGAACGAAGTGGAATGATACCCAGGCGGCCATAGTTTAAAAATTTAAAAAACGCTTGCCCCGCGAGCATCTGGCTTTAAAATTTTAATATCCGCCGCAATCTGGTGCTTTTTGAAGGCACCTTGCATCTTCTCAGCAACCTGCTCTGTGTGCTCCAGACAATAGGCAGCGACAGTTGGTCCTGCTCCACTCAATGCGACGCTAAGTGCCCCAGCGGTGGTAGCGGCTTCTGCCACATCATCAAATCCTGGAATCAGTGAAGCACGGTAAGGTTGATGCAACCTATCCTTCATTGCAACACGCAACATCTCAAATTGCCTCGTGGCAATGCTGGCAATTAGCAGTGTGCTCCGGCTTGTATTGTAGATTGCATCTGCAAAACTCACTGATGTTGGTAACACCCCTCGTGCTTGTTCCGTTGACAGTGGGAAATCAGGAATTGCCAGCACAATCGAAAGGAGGGATGGACATTCTAATCGAACGGTATGAACCTGAGCATCCTCCTGTGCTGAAACGACGAGTCCACCATACAATGAGGCGGCGACGTTATCCGGATGCCCTTCCAATTCTGTCGCAAAGTTGAGGAGTTCCGGGTGAGAAAATGGGGTGCCGCAGAGCGCGTTGGCAGTGAGCAACCCGCCAAGAATGGCTGTTCCACTGCCGCCCAAACCCCGAATCGCAGGTATTCCATTTTCTATCTGCAATTTAAAGCCTTTTGGGCGTTTCGTTCCGCTTCGGTGGAAAACAAGTTCTACCGCTTGAAACGCGACATGCGCCGGCGTACTTGGTATTTTATCGGCATCTACGCCGCTTACAATAACTTCAGTGTCGGTTTCAGAAAGTTCTAACGTAACTGTACTATAGAGCTGGAGAGCAAGCCCTAACACGTCGAATCCGGGTCCCAGATTCGTTGTGCTTGCTGGGATCCGCGCGGTAGCTTTTCGGTTAAAAGTAGGAGGCATACAAGAGATTCCCTGATAGCTGATACAAAGTGCTACAACTTCGAGATTGCAGTTTCCATTCTGCCTAATGCCTCTTGGATATTATCTAACGAATTGGCATACGAAAGACGAAGGTAACCATCACCATACTTGCCGAAAGAGGTACCAGGCAATAGGGCGACATCTGCTTCCTCCATGAGATAATCGGCGAGTGCTTCACATGAAATCGGCAGTTGCGTAACGTTGGGAAACACATAGAAGGCACCGAGCGGTTTGATGCAACTAACTCCTTCAATTGCATTCAGCCCATCTACAATTGCGTCGCGTCGTTTCTGAAATTCTGAAACCATCTGAGTAACAGAGGTTTGCGGTCCTGTCAGTGCCTCTATCCCAGCGAGTTGTGTGAAGGTGGCAGTACAGGAATTGGAGTTAATCGTTAACCGTGTGATTTTATCAGCGATTGCTTGGGGAGCAATACCGTAACCCAATCGCCATCCTGTCATTGCATAGGTTTTAGAATGCCCCTCGATCAGAATTGTCCGTTCCTTCATGCCGGGCAGACTGAGGATGCTGTCGTGTTTACCTTCATAGAGAATGCGGGAATAGACTTCGTCTGTCAACACATAAAAATTGTGCTTCTGTGCGAGTTCCGCGATTGCTTCAAGGTCTTCAGGGGTCAGCGTGCCACCTGTAGGATTCTGAGGTGAGTTGAGAATCAGTAGTTTCGTCCGATCAGAGATTGCCGCCTCAAGATCTTCAAGCCGGAATCGGAAGCCTACCTCCTCGCGAAGGTGTAGCGGTACGGCTTTTCCGCCGATGAAGTCGATAACAGATTCGTAGACGGGGAACCCGGGTTCGGGATAAATTACCTCATCACCCTCATCAATTAACGCCAAAATAGTGAAGAAAATAATAGGTTTCGCTCCCGGCGTCACTGTGACTTCGTCAGGGTGTATGGTAACACCACGCATCTCGGTTATATGTTGTGCGACAACCTCGCGAAACTCCGGCACACCCGCAGATGGACAATAGCCGGTATGTCCGTCCTTCATCGCTTTATACGCTGCTTCAATAATATTAATCGGTGTTGGAAAATCCGGCTGTCCTATTTCCATGTGGATGATGTCTTTGCCCTGTGCCTCTAACTGTTTGGCTTTAGCTAAGACCTCAAATGCGGATTCCGTGCCTAATCGACTCATCCGCGTTGCGAATGTGGGTACTTCCAAAATTATACCTCCGCGTATCGGCTATCGGCTTATCGGTTGTCAGCTGTCAGTAGATTGTTGTGGGTATTGCGAACATTTTCACCTGCCACAAGGTTCTCTGGAAACCGACGGCTGAAAGCCGACTGCTGATGGCTATTCATTCTGCCTGCATTATAGCGCCAGTGGAACTCGCTAACCAAACATGTTGTCCGTCAAGCACAAAGACCTTGACCAGTTTTTCCCTGGAATCTTCAAGTTCCCAAGTTTTGCCACCATCACTGGTACGTAGGATGGCACCGACTCCAAAGTCGCCACCTGTAGCCCAGCCGTTCTTCTCATCTGCAAATCCGACACTTCGTAATGTTTCTTCCGTGCCACTCATTTGCTCTTTCCAGGTTTCACCGCCGTCAGTGGTATAAAGGATTACACCATTTTCACCAACAGCCCAGCCCATTGACGCATCAAGGAAAAAGATGTCTTCAAGGATATCCTCTTTGTTGGTACTTTGTGTGACCCACGTCTGTCCGCCATCCATCGTTTTCTGAACTAAGGCAGATTGACCCTGTGTGCTGGGACTCACGCGGACTCCGGCAATCCATCCGGTTTCTTCGTCAAGAAATTGAATTGCGTTGTACATATTTGCGTCATCATCGCCAATGGCACCGAGTTGCCCACCTTGAAGAACTTTCCATATACGTCCGCCGTTTTGCGTAGAGAGGATGGTATCGCTTTCACCTACTGCGTACCCCACTTCTTTATCAACAAAATGGATGCCTTTCAGTCCGTTGTCAATCTTGCTGGTTTGCATTTCCCAGTCTCTGCCGTTGGTCGTACCAACGATTGTACCGTTCGCACCGACAGCCCAACCATATTTATCATCGAGGAAGTACACTTCGGCTAAATCGGCAGGGATTTTGATTTCCGATTTTTGCCACGATTTACCACCATCCATGGTATATCCGATGAAACCTGGATTTTCATAGTCTTCAAAGGATGCGGCACCGACTACCCAACCGGTACTCTTGCTTGTAAAAGCGATTGACATGTAATCCCGAACGTCTGGGTCGCGTTCTTGTAAAACGCTCCAATTTCCTAACGCCGGTAGAACGGTTCCCAAAACGCCGACGATTGTGAGTAGCATTATTCCTCTTAGTAGGCGTGAATCAAGCCTGTTCATTGTTATCGTATCTCCTTTTTTCGTAAAAATGTGTGCTAACAGCAGATCCTTTTGGATGCAGCTTGTAGGTTTCCAAAAATTTGCCGTTATAAAGCGTGGTGCAGCTTAGTAAACCAGCGACTTGCTATTGATAGACCCAAGCCTAAAGACTTGGGCTTCCACAATCTACACGGAAGCACTTGTGTTATCAACAAGGGTTGCTTTCTTACGAAAGTCTGATACCCTCTTCTCCAAGGGTTGCTACCTCAACCCCGCACAAAATGTGCTTTATGATTTTTATGAGGGTCAGAAACAAAGTCTGAAATGGGATTCGCCATGACGCGTCTTCCCCTACAACTCATAAGTTAAAAGATTGTTTTTGAATCAGTCCTTAAATGTATATCTTATACAATATTTTTGAAAATTTGTCAAGTTTTTCAAAAAAATGCCCTCGGTATAATCCGCGAGGACCCCGTCTACATTCCAAACCTAAAGGATTGGGTTTTAGCGGGTAAATCTGAGAAAAAATTAAAACTCCATACTGTTGTGAGGATGCGTTTTAATGTCACGTACATCCGCTACTTCGCAACAATTAAAGTCCCTGTCTTAAAACTCTCTCCCACTTGAAGTTGATAGACATAAACGCCGCTTTCCACAATTTCACCGGCTTCGTCGTGTCCATCCCAAATCAACTCCGTTTCACCCGGTAGTGCGGTCAGAGTCTTCACGAGCATTCCGTCAATGTCAAAGATGAGCACCGTGAATTCACCCGATGTTTCTTCAAGTGTGCGCGCCGGAAAGACTACCTGATTGAAATCCTCGTCTGGAGAAAGCGGTGTAAAAGGGTTCGGGTAAGGTTTGTCAAAAATACGGAGTTTCTTTTGTACAGGTGCGGACACGTTATCCGCCTCGTCAATGGCGATGACAGCATAAGTAAAACTGCCTATAGACAATGGACGATTATCAATAAATCTATATTCCGTTTTTACTTCGCGAATCTCACCGTTAGGGAGAGGTTCAGGTTCGCTGGATCCGGATGAACCGAACAAGACCCGATACGCAACTACATCACGGCTGACGCTCGGTTTCCACAAGACTTCGACACCATCACTTGAGGTAATAATGCTGAGCATTGTCGGCGGCTCTGGTGCAGCTGTGTCCGATGATACGTCCACTATTTGTATCGGTGAACGTTCCGATTGCAAGAAAAGCGTCTTGTAAGCGGTGATCTGATAGGTATGGTTTCCTGGGAGAACGTTTACATCACGATATGTCGTTGAAGAACGGTTTTCGACCCTAATAGGATCTTCCTTATCCCTGTAAATGAGATAGCCGTTGACATCTGGGTCTGTTGATTTCTGCCAACGGAGGGTCACATCGTTTTCCCCAGTTCCATCGGATTCAGCGGTAAAACCTATAACTGGGTCAGGCGGTACATTCGGAATTACCTGTAAGGTAAAATCGTCGTTGTTGAGCTTTCCGTCTGCCTGCCCCGACCGGATAAATTCACCGATGGGACCGTCTTGCAGATTGCGTAAACGCACTCTGAAAACTGCCTCCAAGATAAGCGTATTGGGTGTCTGACAATCAAAGACAATTTCATAGAGCGCATTCTGAAAATCAACGATAGCGTCTGCGAGTTCAACGCGCAAAATACTTCCGCCAGAGGCTACCGCCCTTGCTACAATCTGGTTTCCGTCACGCGAGATGCCTTTGAAATAGGAGGATTGGGTTAGAAATCCGATCGGCATCATGACCTCAATAGTTTTAATTTCTTCGCCCGGCTCTGCCAACGACCGGTCAATTAAAAGCGTCACGATGAGCGGCACAGTCGAAGTAGCAGGAACAATGCCCTCTGTTTCGCCGACGACATTAATCTCTCCCACAGAAGTAACCGCCCCATAACTGTTAGCGGAGACCAAGAGCAGACTACCGATAAGTATCAAAGCGACAGATATGTTTTTCATTCAACAAAACCCTTTCTCTATAGCAGCAGATTGAGGGAGAACCGCTGCGTTATATTGTCCTGAAAATCCCCACTTAGCAGTTGGAACCCATAGTCGAGTTGGAGGGTAGTACCACTGATTGGAAGTTTAGCACTTCCACCGAAACTCAGGGTTGTTGCCGAACTCCGTCCACTTTTCACACCATAACCGCCACGAACAGCGATGGCGTTATTCAACCAGACTTCCATTCCTGTGCGTATATAAATTTCGCCATTGCGAGACGCAATCTCAAGACTCCCCAGACTGCCTTTCAACAAGTTACTGACTGCCGCACCTTGTGCGCTCATCTCCGCGATAGACGCAAGTCTGTATGCCAAACCCGCACGAATGTTTAACGGCACCGAATCTGTTTGAGTGTCAGATATGCTCATATCTGCGGGAAGCAGGTTCTCTACTGACGCACCAAGACTCAGACTCTGGAAGGGTTTTGCAATCACGCCGAGATCAAAAGAAACGGCTGAACTGGAGGTTTTGACGAAATACGGATTCTCTACGACGAATTCGTTTGCCTCGTCAAAAGAGGTCCGGAAGAGTTTCAGATTCGCACCGATCGCGAATTGTTTGAAAAGGGCATTTCCATAAGAGAGACGCAAGGTCTGTTCATGGTAAACATCGGAGTCTTCTGCCAAGTCCCCGAAACCCGCCCCAATTGCCCCTATTCTTCCAAGCGGAATAACACCATTGAGGACATTATAGGTAATGAGCCCACTAAAGCGTTGTGCGTGCGTAGCACCGAGATGGATCTCACCAATATAACCTAATCCTGCGGCGTTGTAATCTGCGGCGTTGCTATCATCGGCGAGCGCGACGAAGGCTCCCCCTAAACCTAACGGCCTCGCGCCAACACCAATATTATTGAATGTAGCAGCAGCGACAGCAGGGAAAAGCAACGCGATGAGTAGAATTAGACGGAATATATGTTTCAATCTATTATTTCCTTGATAGTCACATATGTTTATTAGGATTACTTATCCCAGTTTCCTGTAGATGTACTTTGTAACTGCACCAGTATCTTGATAACGGATTTAATTCAGTCCACTTGTCATTGGGACAAAACGGACACGGATAATCTCGGTGGTTTCGAGAGATTGTATCGAATTCTCATCAGTTTGAAGTCCTTTTTGAATTAAAAGGAGATTTTGTTCAGAACCACCGACAGGAATCACCATCCTACCACCTGGCCTGAGTTGCTGAATGAGCCGCTCCGGCACGTCCGTAGGTGCTGCCGCGACAAGCACAGCATCATAAGGCGCGTGTTCTCGCCAACCGTAATACCCATCTCCTTTTTTGAGATGAATGTTTCGATAGTTGAGTGTCTCTAATCGCGCTTTCGCACTTTTGACAAGTCCGGATATAATCTCAACAGAATAAACATCTCTCGCCAATTCTGCCAGTATCGCTGTTTGATAACCACAACCCGTTCCGATCTCAAGGACTTTTGAAGTTGGGGTGAGCTCCAGCAAGTCTGTCATCAATGCGACAATATACGGTTGTGAGATCGTTTGGTCACAATCGATTGGTAACGCTCCATCCTGATACGCCACATTGAGGTATTGCGGTTTTACAAACAGGTGCCGCTCCACCTTTCGCATAATAGCAAGCACTTGGGGATTGTGGATACCACGCGCTTCAATCTGGTTCTGAACCATTTTGCGACGTAGTGTCATGTAGTTCTTGGCGAACAGCATTTTTAACGTAACTCCGAAGCATCAATTTCTGCGACATTAATTCTGAGTTTTATGTTTTATTAGTTACCCACAGTTATATGATAAGGCATGAGAAGAAACAACCGATGCTTTCTGACTATGTTTAGGAGTCTCGCGGTAGTGCTCAAGCCACCGTACTGTGTAATAAACTGTAGCCGAGACTTAGTTCCCACACCCCTGTCCTCCATATCACTATTCTCAAAGGAATTCGGGGTTACAAACCCCTCCCACAACGAGACGAATGGAAACCCGAGGGTGTTGAGTAGTTCTGACATCCATGTTTTTTTCGGAAATTCGACTATCTCAACTGACTTTTCTCCCAATCCAGCGCGTTCCCGCGCGATTGCGATTGCGAGACTTAAACCGCCTAACTCATCTACAAGCCCGTTTTCCTTTGCCTGTCTGCCTGACCAGATGCGCCCCCGCCCAAGTCTATCTACATCCTCGACTGTTAGCCCGGTTCGTCCGAGAGCAACTTTTTCAATGAAATCGTCATAAATCTCTTGAATCTGTTTCTGTACGATTGCTTTTTCAGTAAGCGGATAGTCCCCATAATCGGTGTAAAAATCAGCGTGCTCGCCCCGTTTGAGAATCTCTTTATGGATGCCGAGTTTCTCATAAAGCCCCTTGAAACTATACTTACCGCCAATAACGCCGATAGAACCCGTAATCGTTCCGGGTTCAGCCACAATCGTATCTGCGGGAGCCGCGATGTAATAGCCTCCTGATGCCGCCACATCACCCATTGACACCACGAGCGGCTTAACCTCTTTGAGTTTCACTAATTCACGCCATATAGTGTCAGCGGCGACAACGAGCCCACCCCCACTGTCAATTCGCAACACAACTGCTTTTACAGAATCGTCGTCTTTTACCTCTTTGACAATACGTGTGATTGTGTCCGCGCCCATCACCTGAGTGCCCATAAACGGATCGACGAAACTATCGCCCGTTAACATCAATCCTTCAGCCCTAATGATTGCAACCTTCGGCTCTGGCACCTGCCAATCTTGTGCGTACAGTCCACTCCTTGCGTATTCACTAAGTGGCACCAAATCGGTTCTATCACCAGTGAGTTCAGTCACGACATCATGCAATTCATCTTCATAGACGAGTCTGTCGACCAGTTCAGCAGTAAAGGCTTGACGTGCTGTATAAGGTCCCTCGTCGATACGTTTTTTGACGCTTTCGCGCGTCCATCCACGTCCTTCTGCGATTGCCTCTACGAGTTGATCATAGAGATCATCTAAAATAATGTTCTGGATCTCGCGGTGTGCTTCGGACATCTCGCCCCGTGTGAATGCATCGGATGCGGATTTGTACTCGCCGAGATGCTCAAGATTCGCCCGAATGCCGAGCATGTCTAACGCGCCTTTGTAGAAAGGAATGTTCTGTGCGTATGCCAATTAAGCGCACCTCAGCAGACGGCTGGATCAGGATGCCGTCGCATGCAGATGCGACCATGTAGTCCCCGGTGGAACAATTAGAGAGGTAGCAGAGAACAACACGTCCCGATTCTCTAAAATCCAAGATGGCATCCGACATCTCTTGAAGCTGCGCGATACCGTAGCCGCTCCCGTCTATACGGACGAGAATTCCAACGACATCCTCATCCCATTTTGCGATAGGTAGGACCTGTTTGAGGGAGCGCATCGGCAGGTCAAGGAACGTCTTGCGGCGGGACAGCGGTTTGGTTTTCGGTGCGTTGGAAAAATGAAAATAGCCGACACCCGACCATGCTTCTCGATTATTGTCAAAGGTGTTGCCCGTTCCAAATCCCCAATTTCCGATATTTACACCGAAACGGACATCAAAACTCAGATCGTTATTTACGGTGCCGCGGAGCATGAATTCGCGAATAGGGCGGACCTCCAAGGCATAACGGAGTTCTACACCCTCAATCCCTTGAGTTTTCTGCATGTCAATTGAGAGTGTTGTGCGCCATGTCCCCGGACGGAGTGCTAACCCTAAACCATAGGTGCGTCCGAGTTTTTCTCCAAGTAATTTAGGGCGATTGAGATCGCGTGCCGCTGCGCCAATTGAGAAATAACGTCGCCGATACATTAAACCCATGGAGAGTGAACGGAATCTGTCGTATCCCGCATCGTCCGAATTCATCCAACTGTAACCTGTTCCCCAGTAGAGTGCGTTTCCGAGGTGATATCCACCCGAAAACGTATAGCGCGTGAAGTCGGTATCGGCATCGGCGGTGCCGAATTCTATACCGAAACCTGCACCGGGGACAGCAAGAAAGAAAGCATCATCGCCTCCCCAATCGCTTTGATATGTTCGGAGGTAGTATAGGTTTAGACCGTGGACTGCGGCAAGTCCGGATGGATTAAAGAAGGTGGCAAGGGCATCATCGCTCACGGCAATGGAACTTGATGGCAAGTGGGTGCGCGCCTTTGGCGGCGCAGCTGCACAAAATGTGCTTATTCCACAGATGAACGCTGCGGAAATAACATTTCTACCAATGCGCCCTAAACGCTCACTCAATGAAGATGGAACCCTAAATACGCTTTTCATCTTTTTAAACTATTGGCACATGGGCATCGTTTTTTAATTTATTGACCCCTGGGCGTTCCACTAAAGAAATCGGGATTACAAACCCCTCCCACAGTTATATTTTCGGTTAATTCAAGAACCTACTTTAGGTGTGGAGTGGTGCTTGACTTAGACGAAAACCACGGCAGAATGTAATGGAGCAGTGCCCAAAAACAATCGTTTCACGATGGTCCCTGGTTAATGCCAACTGGGTTCATCACAGTCAAGTTCTCTTTCCTTTTTGGAGATTGCACCTACTTGCAGTATGAACCTATACTATAGAATACCACAAAAGCGTAAGGATTGCAATGGAAATGCCAAAACCTAAGAACGGCGCGCATATTGCGGAAACAATTCGTCATGAATATCACTACATTGCTGGAGATGGATTTGTCGTTCCGCGTCCGCAGTGTCCACCATTGTTGGGAAGAACATGCCTGCGCCCGTCTCAATTTTATATCCGCCTGCTGAATGGACGCTCAAGTACTGATGCAATGTATCCAAATCAGGTTCGGATGTGCAATGCTGTGTGCAATTCATGGTGAACATCCGCCGTCGGGTTCCTCCACCAAACGCTGCGTGATAGGTATCGTGGTTGAAAATCGCGACATCACCGGGGGTGTTCTCCAATGCGATACTGGTTGGAAAATCGCGCGGCGGTATACCGTATAACGCCTCTGATTGATTCGGATCAATCTTTCCGGCTCTGACAAAGTGCGCCGGGTTCTGGCTGCCGGGAATGATACGTAAGCAGCCTGTATCTTTCGTCAAAGAATCAAGGTAAAATGCCACCTTACAAGCGAAGAGCCGTCCCCAACCTCCATCAGGATGCCAGCCGGTATCGCCGGCGTAATAGTTCCCGTCACCTCCAGCGTAGTTGAAGCCTTCACCAAGTACCCCACCGATAAGTCCCTTAATTCGTTCATCATCAAGGAGGGCACAGAGTCGAGGGCGATGCTCAATCGGACCGCCGAACATTGTGCGACGTGTTCCATTATGATCTTTGCCACCCCCAAATTCCTGAATCGATATCTCAAATTCTTCGATAATCCATTCCACCTCGCTTGGCGAAAACATGCCCGGTATCGCGAGATAGCCGAAAGTATTGAAGAAATTTACCTGATGTTCTGTCAGTTTCATGTTTTTAATTTTCCTTGCGGTTCGGTCAGGTGCGTTTAGATTAGACAGTGCGTTTCCGTATATCCGTCCTCCATTTCATTACGGACTACACACATGCTACAAAGAAGACAAGAAGCCTTTTTTAATTTTCCTTGCGGTTCGGTCAGGTGCGTTGTTCATACTATTCCCATCGTGCCCAGACGTTTGGTGTGACATGCCCATCGTCGATGTACGGGTCTTCACCGGCGACGGTGATAACACCACGGTAATTTCGCTGTCCCTTCCAGCCTAACCACGATGCTGTTGAACAGTAGTGGCTCACAAAGATACGCCGGAATGCGTCGCTTCGATTCTTTTTGGAGCGGTGTAAAAGGTAGCCGTTGAAAAAGAGGACGCTACCGGCTGACATCTCAATCGGGATTTCGTCGGTGTCATCGAAGCCGGCTGCTTCGTGACAACTGTCGAATTCATGGCGTTTGTCGTGTGGGAAACGGTCGTAAATTACGCCGGAGCGGTGGCTATTCGGCAAAACCCAGAGACAACCGTTTTCAATTGTGGCATCATCTAATGTAATCCATGCGCCGAGCAGCGATCGATCACGCGTCGGAATGGGGTGTTCGTCCTGATGCCATGGATTACCAGTATGTCCCGGCACCTTGCTTAACATCATTGACTGCATACATTTCACACCACCATCCCAAAACGGGATGTGTGCCCCAACAATCACCCGGAGGGCTTCACAGATTTTTGGATGTTCAATGTAACGCCGAACCAAGGGGCTAAAGACATGTGGTTCGCCGACACACATGATTCTATCCAAAACTTCCATTTCGCTTGCTGTCTCCGGCATCGGTGGGATCGACTCACACGGGTAATCCCCACGAAAGATTCTTAGCATCTCTGCTTTCAGGTCATTACATTCTTCCAGTGTAATGATATCTGGAAGCAGTAAATATCCGTCATTGATGTATGATTTTGCCCAAAGATTGGACTGTTCTTGTACCATTTTCGGATCCTTTTCACCAGTGTCGTCGCCGTTTGAAATCGTGGGTTATTCTGCCCGGATAATGCGCCACGTTTCCGCTTCATTCGCGAAAACCAACGTCAATTTGCCAGATGTCTGTTCAACCTGACCGTTCGCTTTCGGAGCATATTGCAACGTGTAGCCACCCGTTACAATCGCCGTATCGTCAACTATGTTCGAATGAATGTCGATGTCGGTCAGGGTCATGTCAATTTGATGATAGACTTCAAAAAATTCGGTTGCCTTTGTTTCAACGTCTTGGTATGTGCGTCCATTGGAGAAATACACCTCTGAAAAACAGGACATAACCTCCGTTAGGTCCGCCATATCGTATCCGAGTTCATACCGGTTTAAAACCCTCTGAATCATCTCTTTGATCGTCGGTTCGGTCTGATGTTTACCATTCTGTATCTGTGTTGTTACAGGATGCGCCACTGATTCGGGCGGGATTCCTTGTGCAATCTGCTTGAGTGTATGGACTTCCGGGGCGGCATAACCCCAAACTTCCAATTCCATAACTCGCGCAACGCCTTGCACTTCATACACAGGTCGCTTGCCTGCCATGTGTTGGTAATTGCGGACCGTATCATTCGAGGAAACAGGAACGATCCGGACTTTGCTCGCTATTAGGCGTTGCTGGACTTCATGAACCCGCTTACCTTTGCTATTATCTCGCGCTGTATACTGTTTGTCTCTCGTATCGCCCGATGGAATAAGCCCCCAACCGGTGCCGTGCCAATACTCAATCCGATAGTCCTTCAACCCGAATTGCGGCGCTGGATACTCCTCGGAGTCGATCGTCCATATAACAATTTTACGAATATCGACCGGTTTAGGGAGCGTCACGGATACATAATGGCGCTTGTTTAGATCTGAGGTACGCAGATGCTCTAAACTACTCCCCCATCCACTGCCTTCATCCCACGTCTCAGAGTTAGTATCACCATCAATTATCTCTTCTGCGCGATGGTTTGGAACGGATTGTGAGGCATCCGCGGTTGCCCCATTCCGGCCCAATGCAAAATTGATGAGGGGTGGTGGCGGTTCTAAAAGATGTTCCTGAAAAGTTTGCGATTTACAACCGATCACCGAAAGTAAGAGCGTCAGACATGTACATATACGTAGCATCTTTAACCTCCTTTTCGTTTCACCGTAACACTGCCAAGCGTCCGAGTGTCTGTGCTGTCTGGTCTCCAACGACAGCGCGTATTCTGAAAAAATAGACACCATTGGCAAGCAATATACCGTCAGCGTCTCGTGCATCCCACATAAACTCGTTGTAGCCTTCGTTTCCTGAAGCCCCTTTCAAGACATTTACAACCCGTCCGGATGTAGCGTAAATTGTGATAGAGACTTCATCTGCATCCAACGATAACTGATAGGTAAATGTTGTTTCTTCTTTCAGAGGATTCGGGTAGTTGTGAACATCCCAAATTCGGAAAGGGGTTTCCTCTGGCGAAAAGCCCTCGTCGTGTCTCTGGAGCGTCTTATAATCGAAACTCGTTAACCAAGCGACTTCTTCGTTTAAGGCACTCAACAACTCCGCTTCAATCGTCCGATGCGAATATCCGAAGAGTGGGATAAATTCCTCAATCCCTTTGATATGGGGTTGTATAGACTTTGAAAATTCTATCGCACTCGTGATTTTTGCACGGATTGCCTCTTCCGTACCTGGCTCGTAGCCGAGTGCTATCGCTTCTACCAATTTGGCTCGACTTTCAAAGAGCAGTACCCACAGTTCCATCAAATGAACGGCATCGCGTAAATCCTCGGTCGCTTCCAGATCAAAGGGTTCCGCGATCTCACTTGCTACCCGTATCTCGTTTGCAGCCTGCTGTTGTGGTGCCAAAAGTGCTGTGAACCGGTCCACAGCGAGTTTCGCAATGTCGAGTTCCGGGATAGCCAACGTATCTTCAACAGCCCGTGGTCCAATCAATGTCCAGAATCGCGTTGCGAGTCCTGCGGATCCACTGCCGTATGCGCCACCTACGGTCAAAGATCCAGCATAATCTGAGAAATAACTTGCCATGTTCCATCCGTTTACCCGCAAGGCATTCAGAATGTGTGGCGCGGCCTCGGTGCCGTACCGGGCTATCAACTCGTTTTGAAGGAGTTGATAATGGTCGAGGTTGATATCCCAATTGAGGCTTGCACTGACAAGCCGGTCAAGGTATCCCAACCCTTGTGTTGCGCCTTGGACAGTAAACCCACCGAGACCGACGACTTCGGGGTTATTGGCAAGTTGCCGAACACCTTGCACAAACAGATCACTTTCCACCATCCATAACGGCATTACCTCCTCTACTTCATGCGAAAGGACTATAAAGCGATGCCCGATTTCTCCGAGTGCTCTGACTTGTGGGATAGGCACGCCTGCACTCACGACGGGTTCGCCATCTGCGCCCCATTTTCGCGAGAAAATAGTCCCTTTCGGTAGCTGCTGGGCATAAACGCCTGCGGCATCCTTGAGCCAACTGCTGTCATACCCAGAGATATAAAATTTGAAGTCCGGACGCACCTCTCGTGCGGCGTTGATAATCGTAAAGTAGACTTGCCAAAGTTTTGCTTGTCCCTGTTCCGTCCTATCTCCACAGTCAGGACAATCGCATGCGCGTGTCTCATGCCCCCAAGAACGTAGATGCAAACCGGCAAGCGCAGGATAGGTGCGCACGATCGTCTGCGTCAGTTCCTTTGCGAGCGTATGAAACGCCGGTTTGGACCAACAGAACGGTCGATAAGATACTTCATTCCGAGAAGCCCCGTAAAGCACCGCCGGTCCAAGGACATCGGGACGCTGTTGAATCAGTGCCTCTGTCGGTTCGCCCGTCACATACATGAAAAGATAGGCATCAATACCGCGTCGTTCGAGTGCATTAAACCGATTTTGTAGCACTGCGATGCGTTCTCGCCGCGCGCCTATCGGTTCATCCTGCAAGATTTCAAACGTAGGAGTATCCACATATTTAAACGCCGTCCCGAACCCATCTTCAATACCCGTGCCTGCCCAAACGCCTTCGCCGCCACTCATGTTGATACGGTGGCGTGCGAGCCAGTCGGGTTCCTCTATCTCCAACACAGCACGCACGGGATAAAATGGTGATGAGGTCTCGTTCATAAACGGCACGAGCAGTGCTTGCGCTTTGGCAACCGGTAACTCTGGATGTACGGGTTTCAAACCCGTCAACGCCGTAATACAGTTTTCAATGAAGGCATACGCACCATAAACCACTCCACTCTCGGTGTGCGCCGTCACAACAATGACAATCTCTGTGCCGACCTCTACTGTTTTGATACGATAGCCTTCGTCTCCAAGTTCTTTTGCCAAGGTCAGTTCTACGTTCGCCTGTAATCCTGCGATCGTTGGGTTTGACTTTGGGGTGCCAAGCACAATTACCGTTTGCGTCTCCGTTGGTTGACGATTGGTACGGATGTCGAGTTTGGCACCTGTGAATTGTTGGATAAAGGATTGAATTTCGACGGCTGCGAACTGCTCCTGTTCCGAGGCGTTTGCGCCAACTTGAAGAGTTGCTCTCGGTTTACCGGATACCGCAATCGGAATTTGATCACTCCTCGCTGGCAGAACGAACACTACAAGGCAGAAGATAGCCGTCAGCCAAAGAACCTTGTGGTGGGAAAAAATGTCAGCAACTGCCGACGGTTTCCGATGGTTTCCGATGGTTTCCGATAGCCATTTAATGAAGATGTTCACCCTCATATCCCTGAAAGAAATAGATAGCACAAAAGGTCAAGACGAATCCGATGACAAAGAGCACTTTGGCAAAACGACTCAAGTCTGTCCTCTCGACGGTATAGTTGCCACGAAACCCGTCCATCACGACGTGCAAAAGCGTACCGACAGCGAACGCTGTGAGGTATTCTGTCAATTCACCGAAAGCACCGCGGAGTAGCTGCTCCCCCAGTCCTGCTCCAATAATCGGTCCAAGTATCAGGGGTGTCAGTCGAATTAGTGTTTTACTAAAAGTTTGATTCCGGAGGAGCGCGACGGCGATAAGCGTCCCGACCGGTAGGCGATGGATCAGTATGCCGAATGCGAGTGCGCCACCGAGCATCTCCTCTCTCGCGGCGATAACCAAATTAAGTCCATCTGCCAGTGAGTGCAGCGATAGTCCGAGAACGGCTAAGTTGATGCCCCATCTCTTATCTTTACTGTTCGTGTGCTTTCCCGTGTCACCGTTTTGATGTGTTGTGAAACGTTCAACTGCTGAAATTAGGAAAAATCCGCCCCACATCACAAGGATTGTGATGTAACCTACCTTGGTGTAAAGGTGCATCATCATAATCAAAACGATGCCGAGTACCGCGCCCGCTGTCAATCCAAAAATGTGCCCGAAATATTTTTGCTGCCCCCGTGACACAAAAGCGATTCCTGCCCCGAGTGGAACCGTCGCCACCGCAATTGCCAGATAGAGTATAAGCATAGTATAACTATAACAGAATTTGGATTGCAATGCAATCTAAATTCCATGGCTATTTGGTTTTAGGTTTTCAATTGGTTTTATAGGGTGCATCGCGATTTGGATACTGTTCCTACAGCGGAGTACTCCGATTTCAGATTGCTGGATGGATTTATTTTTTTTCGCTTGACGCGTTTGCACATTAATGTTAGAATTTTTTTTCGCTACACACGAATTAGCACAAACTAAACCCGAGTGGGTGTTACGCTTACAATCTGTTATATATATATGATAAGGACCAATAAAAATGTTAGATAAAATTTTTGATGTTATTGTTGGATTTATGCTTAATCGAGACTTGGAAAGGGAAATCGGCATTCGGCATAATTTATTGGAAGGTAAAGTGGTACAGATTCCTTTAAAAATTTTAGACCGATTCATTGACCTCATGATGGTCACTCGGTATTCTTACTACTTGAAGATGCGAAGTAATATGCTCGAGGGTAGGACTATTGAGATGCCCTCAAATATCTTTGATTGGAAAGCACTTGAACGCGCCAGTGGCTATATCCGCGTCTATATGGAAGAGTGCCACGATCAGTTCAAGGAAGAATATGACGGAAATTTTCTTGATGAAGATTTTAGAGAATGGTTCCGTTATTTTCATGTTGAACGTCCTGAACAAGAATCGGCAAAGAAATCTGTTTCCGAGGCTTTACTCGCTGACGATTTGCCGAGAGTTTGAGGTAAAGTTTCAAGATGCCGGATTTGGCGAGAGATTCAAACCGGCATCTCGTCATAAGTTCGTTCATCCAGTTTCCGTCCTGTCTTTGATTTGCGTTTGCCGCCCCACTGCTTAAAGAAAAACGGCACTTTGGCATCCACACACTGGTCGCGGATGTCGATAACCCATTCTTTCTCCATTTTGCGCGCGCCAGGACCAGACTCGCCACCCACGATAACCCAATCTATCCCGTCCAATGCTAAATTAGGGAGAGCACCAAGTAGTGGTTCAAGTGAGAGAAATTTGATCTGCGCGCCGGTTTGACGGAGCGCATCAATCCGATGTGTCACGCGATTGTCTTCAACGCTAACCCCCATCCAGACGTTTGATGACCACGGCAACTTCGGACTGAATTCCAGCAGTCGTTCCGACCGCTTCGTCAAGACTTGAAATTGATGCCAATGTGCCTTTTCCATCACTGAAAAGACTTTCTGGATATAAGTCAATTCGATTTTTTCATGAAACAGATCGCTCATGGAATTGACGAAGATTCGGCGGGATTTTTTCCATTTCAGTGGTTCATTAAGCAATGCCGGAACAGGGAGTACTTGTTGTGTCCACCGCGGGCCCGCTTTGGTATTCTCAGCCAAGCCTTCGTAAGCCATGCCTTTGCCCGAAAATCGTGCTGCTATCCGTTCGGCGTAACAGAACCGACAGCCCTCTGAGACACGAGTGCAACCGCGCACAGGATTCCACGTAGATTCTGTCCATTCGATTTTTGAGAATTGG